TGCCGCAGCGCGCCCCGCACCGGCGGCGCCGCGCGGAGCTCCCTCCCGCACGGCAATGGCAGCGGGCGTGTTCAGCGGCAGCCGCTTAACCCCTCAGCCCCCCGGCCCGTGCCCGGCTCCCCCGCGCGCAGCAGGGTGAGGATGAGGATGAGCTTCCCCCGCGGTGTAGCGCAGGCTGCAGGCAGCGCCTGCCCGCCGCGGAGGCGCCCGGGCACGGGGTGCGAGGCAGCCCCGGGGACGCCCCGGGCTCCCCGGGGAGCACAGAGCAAACGCGCTCCAGCTTGGAGCCTCCTCCGCTCCCTCAGCCCGTTCTCGATGGCTACACACACCAGTGCGAACTTCGGGGATGATTTCCTGCAGGTCCATTAAGTCACAAACACACTGAATTCAAAAAAAAAAAAAAAAAAAAAAAAAGAGAGAAACTACATCTGTAAGAATGTTCATTTCCTACGCTGAAGCCAATGGGAAAGCAGTTTTGAAAAGTACTGAGCATGTATAGTGACTGAAATAACTTGTTTCCAGCATTTAAATGTTAAGTGGTATAATTATAAGCAGACATAGACAGTTGAAATATATTTGACTTATGTTGGTTGAAAGGCTCATTTAAAAGTAGGAATATTTCTGTGCTATAAGTTGGGAATATATTAATATTCTGCTTGCTGCACATTCATAGCATATTTAAACATGAATGTACAAAAATGCATAGTTAGGGTCTCTCTATTTTCAGTGAATATATAAATTATACTTTTATTGGCTTATCCAAAGTGAAATTCTGTTCCACTCCGAGATCGGTGTGCAACATTAACTGCAGTGAAATGAGATGCAATTCTTGTGTCTTAGTCATAACTCACAAATCAGAGCCAGGCAATAGGTGGCTACTTAGTGAAAATGAGTTGGCTGAATTCAGCCCCACATTCCCAAAACAGTGCTACTTAATAAATTAAAAAGTGAAAACAGGAAACAGGAGGAAACTTTAATATGTAAGCACGTATGGGTTATTAACTGTAAGTTTCAGGTCATATTATCTATAATGGACAGAAGAAGCCAGAACTGCCTTCTGAAAACCCATACATATGCAATGTGAGGACAAAGGCAGAAGCCGTATGTCACATACAGGGCCAATACAGCCTTTTGATTATTCCCAAATTGACTACCATCTCTACAAATTTTTGAAGCAAACTAAGAGATGAGGAAAACACGTGAGAGAAAATACCCAAAGGAAACTAATGGTCATAGTTTGATTATATTAATGCCTACAAATAAGGCATTATTTGTAAGCATTACAAATAATGGCAAATAAGGAATGTGAGAGAAATTACACAGTCAAGGTCTGGTTTTGCCAGCAGTGGGAAGCAGTGGAGTCTCACTACTCCCTCCTCTCCCTGTTTGGAGCTCCCACTCAGCTCTGACTCCTGTAATTCCTTGGGTAGGCGCCAGCCTGGCCATCTCCACCCAGGATCCCTCTTCACTTCAGGAAGCACCAGCGACACCTCCCCATGGGCGCCGTATTCTCTCACACCTCACGCACGGCCTCTGGGCAGCCCTTCTCCGCTCTTCCTCTGCATCCCTCATCACGGCAGGTCCTTCTCCAACTCTTCCCACTGGTGCATGGGCTGCCGCTGTCCATGGTGCTTCTCTGCACGGCCAGGCCACTCCTGTAGGGAGATGGAAATGTCTTGTGTCAGCCCCAGCAATACAGAGGAAAACAAGCTCTTAGGCAAGTAATATATTTACATGCTTTCAGTAAGAGTTTTCAGCATGCAAAACAAGGCGTTGAGCTGTTTTGTCTCAGCCCCCAATGACAGGTTTTATATCTTTCCTATGGTACCAGGCAAACGACTGCACATTACATTTTGTTACTCTACCGTGACACAAGTACATCACTTCTCTAGCTAATATCACCTAAGTGGCATTTTAATATCTTGCAACGCATAATTATACAGTCTTTCTAACACATTGTCAATATATTTACAATGTATCTCATGTATTGCTAAATGGAACAAGGCTTAAAGGAGTGATTTCTTAAACAAATGCTCTTGGAACAGCTAATTCCAGAGCACACAAGATGAGGGATTACTCTCCGTTAAGTCCTAAGTAATACAGAGTGGCTGGTTCAAGTGGTAATTGTATAATATAAGGAAGATGAGCAACAGTGACAACATTACCTTCAGCATCCTGGGGGACAAAAACATCTCCATCTATTATGGTAGCACAACATTTGAAAGTAAGATTTTGCAAAACTAATAAATCTACATAAATAGAAAGGCACTAAGAGCTGTAGAGAGAATTACCTGCTACCTGAGATCGATACCTGGCAGCACTGAGGCGCACACTAACAGTCACAAAGCTGCATTTAGTCCTGGGCAAAAGTACGAAGGCAAGAAATAAGACAGCACAGCGAAGTTTATGACACCATCTTAATTAACTGTCCTCCAGAAAATGCAGAATTTAACCAGAAGTTTTGCACCATATCAGCAATCACCTAAGATGCAAATTAAAAAGGAATTCAAAAGATCTGGGGTATATTATTAGACTATCTAGTCTCTTTATAAACACATTTTATAAACCTTGAAATATTAGAAGCAGGAAGCCCTACAAATAATCAGGAGGTCTACTGCATCATCTAGGAGTGAAGGAGGCAGTTAAGGGTAAAAAACAGCATGGAAAAATGAATTCTGATTTTGTCACATCTCACCTTAATACAGAAGGTTCTGTGAAATATAGGAAGAGAGATAATGGAGTGTAGCTGCAGAGAGGGATCTTTTCAGAACCAGTACCAGAAAATTAAATCACCGCTATATTATACTATGCCTCCTAAAATTCTGATGCTTCCAGAAAGTTGCAGCTGACTTGTTCTGAAGAGAAAAATGCAAGTACTCTTTAAAATCCCCTTTTAAGACCATCTCTTACTGTAACCTTATAACCATAGATCTATTTGTTTTTGTTTGGTATTGACCTGATAAACCTGACACAATAGTTAAAATGAAAAGACAACAATTTTGTGAGTATGGAATTAAATATATTATAGATATTACTTTGTCCTGCCTCTGCAAGATAAATTATACTTTTGCAATCACAGGAATTGTATTAATTCAGTAAATATTCATCCCCAACACCAGAAGAAATAGGCATCCTATTGAAAGCACAATGAACATATACTTAGAACAGCGCAGGCAACAACCAAGGTTATTATCATTAATAACCAGATAAAGAGATAGACATGATACAAACATTATAGAATAATCCATCATCAGGTTAGATGGTAAGAACTTCTTCCAGAACAGTCTATGGCAGAAATAAATTTCCTTAGAAAAGGAAGTGATGCAAATACAAAAGCAACAGCTGAAGCTGCAGATGGAAACATGACCGCTGAAGCTGAGTAATATTGGGCAGGGCTATTGGCTTCCTTAACCTTGATATTAGTGCCAGAAATAAGACCTTATTCAGGGCCTGCCCTGTAATCTAAGGATGAAATCCTAACTCTTACATCAGTTGAGAAGAGTTTCTACCATGTTTTCCATGGCACCAACCAGCCTAAGAATTTATGTAATAGCATCCATGTTCTTCCAAATAAATGAAAAAGAGTCTCTACATTTAGCTCCAGATCTGAAACTGATTTAGTAAAACCACTAAATTTAGTGGTTTAAATTGTTTAAATTTAGTGGTAATTTAATATTAACATTAAAAGTTAGACAAACATTTGTATTCTTTCTTAAAACACCTGTTACAAAACCTACAAATCTGTGTTACCACGTGGCATAAATTCAATTAAAAAGAATCTCTTTGGTCTCTAAACAATGAAAAAACTACCATTTTTTTTTCAGACAGCCAACAATCTGATACCAGATTTTATGCTTAGAGCTACTCACTGGAGTTTTTTTTCCACCAGTGACACTGTGTTTGTACAACATGGCTCTAGTCACCACACACACTTCTGGATCTGCCTTGGGTAGCTTTTTTTTCAGCTCACATTTAGGCACAATTATGTGTGCACTGAAATAACCCAACAAGGTGATTTGAAGAACCTGCATCACACACCACCACTGCATATTGCATATGACAACCCAAATAGCCTTAAATGAAGCACGTAAAGAGAGGCTGATTAAATCTCACCGTATTTTCCACAAGTAGATTTATGATGGAAATCTGATTCTGAACTCAGAATGAATTGATATAAACGATCTATTAAACTAACTATAGAATGCAACTTATTTTAAATTCTGCTTTTATGACAGCCATTTCAGGCTCAGTCCTATGACTGGATCTATAACATTGTGAACCAACACCTTGCTTCCATGCAAGGGTAATTTTCTACCCCTGTTCAATGTACTTCTTTACAACTAGAATGGTGTACAATGACCACGATCCCTGGCACATAACACTATATTTTTTTTGGGTGGAATTAATATTTAAGCTGGCTGGTGCAAATTACTAGATTGAAAATAGAAAATTTTGATTGAAAATGCTCGAGATTACATCTCTTTACACAGTAGTGGCAACAAGTTCTTGAAAATATAATGCCCTGTGTACTGAATTTGCAAAAGCTCTTACAATAGGGAAGAGGCTGTGCCTCCCCCGTTTTCAGAGATTCTCTAACCTCAACTAGATAAGGACCCAGGCAACTTCATCCAGTGCCGAGGTAACCCTGTCTTGAGCAGCAGACCGATGTCGAAAACCCTCCAATCCTTTCCAACTTACACCACCCTGTGCTTGAAATTCTAAGTTCTGTAGGTGAATTCCTACAATCATATGGCACTTTAGTAAAATTTTGAGTTAAGTAGGCCTATTTTAAAGGCAGCAAATACTTTGTTTTAAGATGTGAAAGACAATATAAAAGAGAAGACAATATACAAGAGACTGCTACATGACATGATTTCACATCTCTATATAAAAACAGCTACTTCTCACTGTAGGAAAAGAGATCTTTTTCCCATGATTTCCTTCTAAAAAGGATAAACTAAGAACAAAACAGAGTACCCAGTCACCAGTGGATCCTTTGCAATTCTCTGCAACCTGTCTTTAAATGAAAATGACATACCAGCATTTCTGATAGGGTAATTTTTTTTATATCCTCATTGATTCCTATTAATGTGATGCACAGTATCTATATTCAACGTAGCATACAAAGCTTCTACATCAAAGAAACAGTGCATCATTTGAAACAGGGCAGAAGGAAAGGATGTTTTTGATGTGAAGTAGTTGGGTACTATCCTGTTTACCCTGCATACTAATGAAGGGATGAATCTGATAATAAGGACCGGGTACAGTCTATATATGCATGCACTAGGGAAGACTTCAGGTCATATGAAAGTTAATGGGTCAGGACATGACCAGTTTTGCCACTGAAGTTCAGTAATTATTTGCTGGATGGTCCTTGTTCAGCTAGATCACAGTAACCATGGTTATCACACCGTGCACGATCACACAAGTATTCTTATTCATGACAGCAATTAAGGTTTTTGTCTGGCTGGGCACACAATGAAATCTGCTCCTCTTAGCGCATTTGTTTTCTCTGATGTTGGCTCTGAGCCTCAGACCAAACTCTGATCTTTAGGCAATCTCATTTGGACTACATCTTCTAATTTTATGCAGTAAATAAGGCATGGTCTTAACATTAAAGAAAAAAAAAAAACAAAAACCTATGGGAACTGGAGTTCAGATGGAAGGTAAAAAATAGCATGTGATCAGGGAACTTCCTCTTTGTGCTCTTCTGCCACAAATAGGCTCTTTCCTTAAAAGCCAACACTGGGCACAGCCTGATCTGTAGTTTCAGTCGAGTTCACAACTTGCTCCTTATTCTGCTGCTCTCAATTCTTCCAATACCAACTGTGCCTGAATCACCAGAACGACCCCTTTGGCCCATCACCTTTCATCATGCCAATACTTGTTCAAGGACAAGTCAGGAAATGTCTAACTTGGGCAGTCTGCAGGTGGATGTTTGTTAACATCAGCGTTGATTTCTTTGAGAGAGAGACAAGACAAGTAACTGACAGAAACAGTAACCTATGACTTAGCTACTCCGAGGAGCTCAGCGTGTTTCACCACAGAGCTGCAGAACAAATTTTAAGATCGCAACAGAATTCTGTGAACCAAAAAGTTAGATTCTAGTCCTCATTTTATAATAAGGACCTGAGCTAACAATGAGAGATGAGGCCTGAAAATGAATATTCCTAATTTAAATACAAGTAAGATTGCATGGTGCACAGAAGACTTCATGAGAGACTTCTAGAGCAAGGGAATGTATCTCATATTTGTAGGTTAGATGTCAAAAGACACACACGGCAGCAGCTTCTTTTGTTATAGGCAGAAGTGTCTCCCAATCTTGCATCAAGTACAGAACTTTCCACTGACTATGTTTCAATTCTTCTCTCTTTCCTAATATGATGGGTTTTGAGTGACCCCTTAAATACAGCATGAAAATTAGCTCTCTCTAGTCATTTCACATTATTTTCTTCATCTTCAAAATGTCTGGGAAGAGGAAGTGTTTACTCTAGGAGAGCATGCAAAGGAAAACAACACTAAATACATCTACCCTGTCAGAGTCAGTTTTCAGTACCAATTTAAACCACCCTTGTCAGCAAGAAGAACTATATTATAATGAAAAGTAGGAAGCACAAAGACATTTTTAAACAAAATGTAATCTTAACAAGCAATCAAACAATTATTGGAAACTAAAATCCAACAGGCGAGACAAGTATGTCAACAAAAATGACATTTTTACAAGATGCAATTATATAAACCTGTTTTACTAATAAAGATCAATAATAATAGATTCATGATATTCAGCAAAGCTCCTTGATATAGCCATTTAACAATACTTATAGTAAGGGTTTTTTCTGTACCCCATCCTAGAGACATCTAATTCTCAAATGAATAACCCAGCCGCACAAAAACTGGCAACAGAGAATGAGACAAGCATATAGGCCAAATAACCCAAATAACCTTTCCTTTCAGAATATCATACACTAGCATCACTTGCAACATTTCAAGCAATAAAATGAATCTTGTACATAGAAAATCTTTCTGAGGATGTTGCTACATTACTAAATTATGAGGGTTTTTTTTCTATCAACATCACACAGGAAATTTAAATTTTTTTCTTCCACAAATCAAGTACATCTGAGATAAAATTTCCAAAACTTATTTCATCTGAGAAGACAGGATTAATTTGCTTCATTTTGGGGAGACGACATGTGAAAGAAGCTGATACTGATAGCTCTAAAGAGCTACTCAAACACTGTCTTAACCCTGAGCTATGAGAAAAAAGCAATCAGCTTCTATCCACATTCAAAATTACTTTTTCTCCACAGACCTTACACAAGAACTCCAGCAACGATCCTTTTTGAAGTGTAATATGGAGAGACAGGCACCACCAATTTTACTGATGCCAAATACTAATCTCCCATAAACCAAGGAACAGCTACCTTATGTTCTGCACAGATGCGTGCTACATCTTCAGTTCTGAAATGGGATTTGGGGATATATTTGAATAAATGAGATAATGAAGTAAATACTCCAGAGCTGAAAAATACTCCTCGTTACCTTGATACCAATTCCAGAGCCTGAAATATATCATCTCCTAGGTCCTGTAAAGGAGGTTCAGCACGTTCCATCTCCCTAGTTGTGACTGTGCACTTCTTATACAACACAAATTTGACATTGTCCACTTCCAGTGACAACAAATGCAATCCCTTTGGTTGAGACAGTTATTTCATGCACTGCATCCTGTGTGAAAAAAGTCCTCAGAAGCAAAGCACACTCTCCAGGCTGCTGTCAGCCTAATGAAGAATTCAATCTCCTGGCAGTCGTATTATTGATAGGCCAGTTGTGCATTTTGGCTACATAGAGGAGTCTCGGGTCACTCAACTGCTGCCCAGCTGATGGACTTCTTTTTAGATCTAGCATACACAGTTTAACTGTAGGATTAGCCTCCATGAGAGTAGAGGACACACTGGAGACCAGTTTACTTTAGAGGCAGGCAGGCTCAGTTATATGTAATTTTGTGTTAAAGTGTTCTGCTTATGTGGAAACCTGTTGATATTGGTTAAATCTTCTTTGCAATGTTCCTGTAGGATCATGACATACTTTTTCTCAGGTCAGATCTTCCACTGAGTTCTACCTCAGCTGCAGAACATAGCTCCCTTTGCTTTCAAGAATAAAACAGTGCCACCTCCAAGACACATAGCATCACCTCCAAGATACTTAGCATTACTGATGTTCTCTAGCATTTAATGGAAGATGAACACAAGTACTGTGATGCGTATGTATGCCCTGAGTAATGCATGCAGATAGGCAACACATGGGCAGGGATTTTACAGGGACCCTAAGCACTGACCTGGGTGCTGTGGACATACCTTTCTCTGTCCATCTGCACTTTTTACTACCCTTACACAATAAACTCCTCTAGCATTTAACAGTGAAGGGTTCAACACACTCAGTAAAATCAATGAAGCCACCTAGAAGAAGGACAAGCCTCAGTGTATTTCTGCTCTACATTTGGGGAAGTAGGCCATGAAAGTAAATGATTTGATGAAAGATACATTTCTGGAATCATAATATCCACCTCCAGTTCATAAACTATAGTTCAAGATTTTTTCTGTGGAAAGAGAAGAAACAAGGCTGCTAATGAACAGAGCTTTGAAACCTGTGGTGCTCGGCATAACATTGTAAGATGGTGGCTTTTTTTGCTACAGAGATAATCCTGGTGCCAAAAAACAATAGCTGAGGTCCAGTAATATTACTGATTTAAGATAAAGCAATCCTGTTATATGAAAAGCACTCATTTTTCTCCACCACTTGTCCTCCCAAAAAAGCTACTTGAAATACTTTATTCTTTTTTTTCTTGCTTCAAGAGGCATAACCCAGAGAATAAATGCTGACTGCTTACATGATTTGCAGACAATTTGTTCCCTTTGCTTTCTAGTCACACAGTCTCATCTCATTCTTTGCTTCTGAAAAGTCATCAGCTTTCATCAGGGGAACTCCGAGTTCTCATGCATATAAAGGAAGACAGTTTGGAGTGTTTTTCTTCATGTCTTTTTCTGGTTTCCACTGCTTTCTTTGTTTAGAAGCTCTATTCTTTTCCCTGGGGAACAGAAAACAGATCTCTTGTCAAGCCAAACATCCTCACCTGAGCCTTACTGGGAAGTAGCTGATGACACCTGTAACTAATCCAGCTACTTTGCTCAGCTAAATGCAGAGCTCCCAGGTTAACTGAGTACCTGGAAATCTTCATCTGTTGAGTCTGCCCACAATGGCTTCTTCATTCATTCTCTTTTTAATTCATTATCTCAAAATGGAAATGATTTTAAAAGTGTTAGAGTGAAATACCCTAAGCATTTTTTTCAGCATTTCATTTACTTTGCAGTCTGAAAGTACTTGTTAAGACATTCCTGAAGCTTAAAATACATGTTCACAAGGAGACATTTATATGTAGAGCTTTAAATATAATTTTTTTTTAAGAAGGCAGTGTGGGAATCAATAAAGTTTAGGAGCTAATGATCTCCTCTGTGTTTTCCTATGCAGATAAATGAGGTGTTTAACTGATGTGGTGATTGTTTGGAAAAAGATAACTGCTTTTTAACAACAGCAACTATAAAACACCCTGCTATTATCTGTCTCCAGTAAACTAGCTAACACCAGTTTGACATTTTAATCTGATAACATTGGAATTAATGTACTGACCTTCAAACAAAAAGTGCCCTTCACATTACATTCTATAAAAAGTTAGCACCCCAGACACACTGAATTACCTAACATGGTAACAGCAAGCATTTAACAGCAGGCATCTCATAAAAGTTAGGAAAAATCCTTGGATAAACTTCAATTTAGCTTTCTAATAAATCTGTAGTTTCTGGCTAGCAATCACAAGCTCTCTGAATAGCACATCCTGCATATCATTCGAATCCTCGCCATGTCCTTACCTGCTGAAGGACATCCTGAAGGACACAGCCTCCAAGAATTCATAACAAAAGAACCTACAGCAACACTAGATACCGCCTTAGGACTCGGTGGTTGCTCAGCCACAGCAGCACAACCACACAGCGATATCACAGTAGATGGACGGAGAAGGCATAGGGAAATACTGTGCACCCTTCTGACGCACCTGGGTACAGGGCTCCCCACACAGGTTTGCTGCATATTCTATGGCAATGCAGCACGTGCTCTTCCGTAACGACCCAAAAACAGAGAATGGGAAGAATCTGCTATTTCCTTTCCACCCCTCTTAACTCGGAATCCCTTGGGTCCCAGAAAATGCTTCACTCATTTTCCCTGTGCAGCATCATGGGACATGAAGCCCAGATGTTACTTGCTGTTACTTCAGCTCAAACCATTTACTCCCATTTGAGGATGGACCATAGCTCTTATTTTTAAATATAATATATATATTTTAACATCTTCTAGTCTGACAATGATTTTGCCAGCCTGGATATGAGCTGCACAAAGCTTAGCCAAATCTCGGACAAACTGATAGTTTGGGTGAGTCAGAAAGAATAAAATAAGGGCAATCTATGAAATTACCTGTAGCATGGTTTTTGCTATCATGATGTTCACCCTTCAGAGACTCTGCACATCACAAGCTCATTTCTTTAGTTCTCCAGGTCTCCTTAGAGATTTTTTCTTGCGTTTACCTGGGCAGATGGCTGCATTCAGCACCTTACCACACAAATACGGGAAGAGTTACACTGCAGCTTTCTTTTCTACTCTAAAACACCTCAGATTATTTTCCCAGGTACTTTACTTCTGTAGAACACCTCAGATTGTTTTCCCTCTGCAGAAACACAGGGGAGCCAATGGAGCCTGGGCGACGGGAGCACGGCTGCTCGCAGCAGTCCCTGCTTCTCCCAGCCAGGAGTTTCATGGCGCCAAGAGACTTCCTACCCCAGTAAGAGCGCCAGGACGGAGCCCTCGTTCAGGCAGACGCCCCAGCTCTGCAAGGCTGGGCCTAGCGCGCATGCAGGGCGCCTCGCACCGAGGCGGGCCCGCGCCGTTTCCCCGGTGGCGGCGGCGGCTCCTCCGCTCCGCTCCGCCCCGGGCGCCGGGAGGCGGGGCGGCGGCATGGCGCCTGACATGGAGCCGCTCTTCCAGGCCTGGAGCTACTTCAGGCGGAGGAAGTTCGCGCAGTGCTCGGCGCTCTGCTCCCGGCTGCTGGAGCGGGCGCCCGGCGAGCAGGTAGCGGGGCCGGGCTGGGAGACGGGGCGCCCTGCCCGAGCACGAGCGGGCGCCGGCGCCTGTCGGTGCGCCTGTCTTTCCGTCAGTCTGTCTGCGGGTGTCGGTCCTCGCCGCCTGTTGCGGCCGGGAAGCGGCTGTGCGCGGGCGGCTCCATCTTAGCGTGGCGCCCGCTCCCGCTTCGCCCCTGGCCGGGCCGTGCGGAGGCGCCTCTGCCCGCGCCGTGGTTGTTCTAGTTCTTTATTTATCGTCAGGAATGTCGTAGGGATGTCGTAGGGAAACTGCCCCGTGAACTTGGGCCGTTAAACTCCTTCCTCAGAGGGGGCCGCATCCGTGTCCAGGCGGTCCCTCCTCCTGCCAGGATCCCGTCCCTGCCTCCATGTGCTCTCTGCTTGTGGAGAGGTGCGAAGTGACCCTCTGAGTTCTTCTGTGTAAGACAAAGTTGGGTTAAAATCTCAGGGAAAGTCAAAATTGGCAGTTAGTGAAGGTATGCCCTCAAATACTTACACGAATGAGGTATATTTTTATATATATTTGTAGTTTTGTTTCCCCCCCCCAAAAAAAAAAATCTCCTTCAGCGTAATGAGTAAAGGGAACTTTAGTTGATCTGTCTGGCCTGCTCTGGAAATATTGGACCTGTGTTACCTAGCGCTTGTATTTGCTTGCTTTTCTTGGTAAGAAATAAGAGCTTGGGAATGCTGTTTGAGAGTATAAGAACTCTTGGCACCAGACTTGGAAAACACAGTAAACAAATGGATGTTTTTTGGATATAAGTACTTTAAAGGAAATTGCTGCATCTCCCAAAGCATGCTATAGCTATGTATTTTTAAGGAACTTGAAGATAATTATTTTCAAGGAAAAAGAAAAGAGAGGAAATGCTGCATAGTCACATGATAAATGTAAAGCACAGTGAATTTTTATACTGTTTAGGTTTGATATTTTATGATATATACTATAAGGCACTAACTAGGACCAATGAGTGAGAAAGCAGAAAAGTTTTTAGCATTTCAAGAATATCGGTCCCAAAAACTGAATAGGGTCCAGTGTCAGTTCTCTGCAGTTTCTTCAAAAATGTACTTGAACACAGTATTCAAATTATTAGGCCCTGATACATGAAATCTTTTCATATAGTTGTAGAGCACCTAGTCCATGACTGGAGCTCTCAGGACTATTGCAGTGCACTTCATAGCAGTAAGTAAGTAAGCAGTAAGTAAGAGTTGTAAAGATTGCAGTGATTCTGTTAATACCAATTTACAGATCTTTAGATTTAGTGCGAAGTTTTCCAAACTATGATCTCAACACGGAAACATAAAGACTCTGTATGTCTAACATGTGCTGAACCTCAGGTAGGCAATTAATATGCTGTGGCTGGCAACTCCAAATCTTGGCCAAACATTGACTGTCCTGGTAGCAGTGGTGAACTTGAAGAGATCAGCAAGTGACAGGAGTAGAGTAAGGAATATAAGGTATGGAGGGCTGAGAAAAATGCTTAGGAGAAAAACAGGAAAACCAAAGTAAGAAGATTTAGATCTCATGGGTGATTTTTTTTTTTTTTCCATTTTCTTTCTGTCCTTTAAATTTCCCTTGCAAGTCTGTCATCCAAACAATGATTATGTATTTTTCAAACCTATAAGTATGTAAATTAAATAATTGCCTTAGGTAAGATCATACATTCTACTTAGAGAACCCAAATACTACGTACCAGCAAATATGAGTTTTTTGCAAATATTTTACAAATGTAAGACAAAAGGTTGGTGCCCTCTGTTTGGAGGATGAAGTGATAAACTAATGCACTTCATCTTCAATGTTCTCACCTTTCTCTTTTTTTTTTTTTCCATTTTTATGTAATTAGGCTGAGAGTGGAGGGTTAGGAATAGGAATAGTGTCTATAAACATCAAGTCATAAGCTGTTAAAAAGAGGAAGAGCTCTATGAAAGTCTCTGAAATTCACTTTAGGATTGAGTTTTGTTGTGGTGGGGTTTTTGTTTACTTAGTTGGTTTTGTTTAGTTACAGGCTTCCAGGTTATGGCTGCCTGCAAAAAAATGGATTGTGTAACTCGGTGTGTCCATTTAAAGACTACATTCCTGTTCATAATTTTATCTAAAAATACACTTACCATCAGCATCATCTTCCAAATCTACCTGAAAGATTAGAAGGGAAAGAAATGTCTTTACTTGCTGTAGAGTCAAGCTTGAAGTATGGTTAGTTTTGCGCTTGCCCCTGTAATCTCCTTGAAGGATCCTTATTAAGAGCTCGATTTAAGCAGGAATAAATTACTTCTAAAAATATTCCAAAATATGTCTACTTTAGCCTAGAAAATAATTCTTGAAAATGTGAGGATCAATGTTGCAGTCTTTCGCTGCAAAGAGATTTCACAGAATAACATTGAAGTAAAGCACATCTGTTTTTTTATATTGCAACTGTGCAGATCTCAGTAAATGGTTTTTACTCTAAATACTTTACGTAACAGTTTAGGGACTTTCAAAAAAATTGAGAGGCAGCTCTGTGTGCTTCTTCAAAAGGATTATGAAATACACTATATTTGACAATGTATTTATGTTTTTGAAATTCAGTAGTTATACAGCTGTCTTCTCCAACATTCCTTATCAGGCAGTCCAGACCAAGACACGGCTCCCAACAGAAAATGCAGCCTTATTTATATCCTCTCTTTGCTGTGATACAGCAAGCTCGAGAAGCCGGAATAGCAGCAATTTTCAGTGGTGCAGCTTGAACCAGGCTCTGATCCGCTCATGCTACACAATCTTACACATAAAATCTCTTAAGGAAAAAACATTTTCTAATTATATAGCTAAAACTTAGCTATTAACATACATGGCAGAAATACCAATACATAGATATTTCTCATTTTTGGTCAACTGCACTCATCATGGTTTAGATTTTACACCTTTTATCAACACAAAATATTGGTTACCTGTCCAAGAAAATCGATATTTTACTATGCTTGTTGTGCTCTTAGCTACTTACTTTCTAACATATTTTCATGTCAGATATTCACTCTGCTTGATTTGGTCAGAGAGAGAGAAGGGAATAATAATATCCTTCAAGAATCTACCTTACTTGTAGTTTGGAAGTTTGAAGGCTATTTTGAGTCTACATAAGGCAAGGGAATGAAAAAGCAAATTATATTCACGTACTGCTGTACACAAATTGTGAGTTTACTTTGTGTGTAATAACACTGTTATTTTATAAAACACTTATAAATATATATATATTTTTATATATATTTTATATTTATATTTATATATTTATATATAATATATATATATAAAACACTTAAGATGCTAAGCTTAGAGGTTGAACATTGAAGCAATTAGAACTGAAGTGGTAAACAATTTCTCCATCTTTATTCTAATACTGTTTATCATGCTGATAGTATTTATTTGAATGGTAGCTTAAGTTATGGTAGTATATTTTTAAAAGTGACCCAAGATTACTCTTTTAATTGATTTATTTAGGAATCCAATACCATTTTCAAACAGAGTGCTAATTCTTGGAGACTGTTAGTGAAAGCAGTTAGTTCCTAAATAGCTTGAGCAAATCATGTTTCTCTCGTCTTCATCTGCCTAGCAGGAAAATGATGCTATTTTCCATCTATGTTTACCAAGTCACTAATATTTTAGTGTAATCTGGAGAAATAACTCAGTCAAAATTGTTAAGTTTTGCTTCCTAACCTGAAACATCTGATCCATAGTGCTTAAAAAGCAGGTCTAAAACATTTAATGGTCAGTGCCTGTCTCCCTTAATGGGAGCACTCAGCAAACCAAGATAGGTCATTTTGGGCAACAGAAAAACGCAGACAAATGACAACACTTACAGAAAGTTTGGATTAAGTGAGATGTTGTGCACCGCAAGGCAATACTCAACTGCAGTAATCACAGTGCCATCTGTTCTCATCCTGCTGCCCCATATTTCACTAAGAACATCCCTCCCAACCTCTGCAGCCAGTGCAAGAAGGACCTTTTAAGAGCAGCAGCCTCCTTCACTGCTCAGGGTTTGCTTCCTCGAGCAGGATAGTAGGATTCCCCTGAGGAGGGGATAGTAGGAGTTGATATAAAGCCAAGGTTTAGGAGATACTGCCCAGGAATGGTTGAGCTAAACTATGATTCTTGTAGCACAGAATGTTTTTGTGCCCAGGCAGTTACCTATCTCCCTTTATAAGATGTGACTTAACCATAATAATTAATGTAAGAGCCTAATAGTGCACAGTGGAGGTGTCTTCATGTCTGAAACAGAAGACCTTGCCTGTCTGAAACACTGTTCATTTCTCCCACTCATGTCAACTGGTCAATGAAACGATGGCTCCACTCCTGCTCCCTTGCAACTGGCACCATGTTTTAGTGGGCATCCTTGTCAGTCATGGCTATAAATATAAAATTAAATATTCTTAAGCAACTTTCTATATGTCTGCCACACTCTTTACATATACCTTAATATTCAGAATATGTTTTTGTTGGGAATATGATGGTGTTTAAGAAGCATTTCTTTAAAGCACAGTAAGGAGAAGGAAGATTTGAAGGTCTAAAAAACAGGTTTACTGATAATCTTTTTGAACTCTGTAACCAGATGTGGTCAGTCCTAAAAGCTTTTTTTGAGGTATGGTGTTGACTTTTCAGCCAGCTAGGCATAAATTAGAATATTTTTATGTGATACTATCAAATGCCATGCCACTATAAATCTGTATTCTTAAATAATACATCAGTGAAGTCAATGCATTTTAAAATCAATTCTGCTTAATAAAAATTTCTTTATAAGTAACTAGATGAAGGCTTTGAAAGAAAATAGCAATTTCTGTTGAGTTACCTATTAGAGAAGACTAAAATCCTGTTTATAGAAACCTCCTGTGCATTTCTTCATTTAAGAAATAGGATTGTAAACTTCACTGATGAAGTTTACTTCTGTACTGAGAGTCTCAGCATAGATAACACGACATGTTCTCCATGTCTAGCATTTGGGAACACAACTGTGCAAAGCATCAATGTTATTTCTTATCGTAAATAAGGAGGCATTGTCTTCTGTGTTTATAGCAATAGCATGACCTAGAGGAGATGCACTCCATGGCTGTCTCTGCTGATCATCCTGATTAGTTACCTAATCTGATTACTCTTCTTTGTGTTCCATATGTCAGATTCAGGGCAATAAACCCGCACTGATGTACTAGGCCTGCTGTGGTTTAACAATTAAAAAATAATGCCTGATATAATTAATAGACATGCGGTGGATGTCCTGCCTTTAGCTTGTTTAATCATCTAGCATGAGCATTTGCTTTTGTTCACTTGTCCTTCTCCCAGGCTTATACCTTAAGCTGCCATTGTTATTTGCACAGTTTTTTTGTAATATCCTAATAAAGGTATTGCTGATGTCTTCATGTATGTGGAAATTTGTCAACTGAAATGAGTTATTGGTTGAAAAGACAGTAGTTACTAAATCCAGTATTACTAATATCCAGTAATGTCACTGTTCTTGCTTATTGTTTTCTCTCTTTCTGCTCTTAATCATTTGAAGATTACTTTCAGAATATGCCGTTTTTGATTTTCTGCATGTATTAAATCATACTCGGCTGAAACTAGTTGTATATTGAAGCTTTTATAGAATTTAAAATATGTAATCTGCTCTTTATTTCATTCCCTATTCTGGGCAGTAAACATCAGAAGACTTAATTTTATATATATTTTTGGTCTTAAAATAGACTGACTTTACACATTAATTTTAAAATGCCCTCAGTGGATTTAGAGATCTGGGTTAAATCCTTCCTTTACTGCTTTTACAATCTTATTAATTTCAAAGGGGCTTTAAATGTGTAAATGAAGAATAAATATGACCTTTTGTTTTGAGAGACAAGCTTACAGGGCTGTACTATTCGTTAATCCTCTCAAAGAAGTCTTTACTGAGGCATCGTGTTCCAGTGGATTACTTGCATGAATAGCAAATGCTAGATCCACCTATCTCCAAACATGCAATATTTTAATGTTACTTTCAATTGTTCCTTGCTTGTCCTTAATGAGAGGGTTCATTTGCTTTCTTGAGGGTTATCTAGAATCTTAAGATACCTCTTTTCAAAGTCTAGAGAAGTAAATTAGGATGTCTGAACAATACATATTAACACCTAACCTTATAACAAAGCAATTATTTTAGTAAGTATGGTTGACCCAGTAATTTTTGTCAAAATTTCTTTTAGCAATATGAATGTTCTTTCATAGACAAAATTTAGTTGATCTTAAATTATTTTTTTAATTAATGAGCAATGCCCAAAGTAAGATACACAGCTGTAATATGAAGGCATTTTTGAGTAAGGGTTGACGTAGTGTTCCTAACCTTGTCCTCATTAGTTACTGTAGCACATATGGTATGGAAGATCACCTACTGCTCTTAAACCATTTTCTAATACACCATATGTGCTGTAGAGCTCAGATGCAATGGGGTGAATAAAATGCTCTCAATGTCCTTTTCTTTATTGCTGAAAAAGCTAGAATGGTTTATTTTCTAGAAGACTTAAATACTGTAAATAAAACAGCATATTAAAGGAACCTTGAGTTCATTTAATCAGACATCTAAAGTGCAAGGATAGTTTCAGTGACTTAGTCAAGCACAGATGTCTGCTTCACTGGCACACAGACAGCTGGAATGAACCTCTTCTTTAGTGTTTACTTCCATAGACCATTAATGTTTGCTTCCATAGACTATTCAATTTATAAACTACATTCTGTACTTTCTAGCATAGATAAAACAGGCTCCTGACTCTAAATACCATCCACAAAAAGCCACAGGTATTCCAATATGCTACAGAAGGAAGAGGAGAGCATCACCCAGGTTCCAGGTCCCAGCTGGCATGGGAATAGCTGAGTAAAAATGCTCTGACTGAAAGAAATAGACTCTTGCTCCACATGAAAGCAAACAGCCAGCCCATGCCTGTCTGTTGGTGAGTTATGAACATACCCCAGTGGTGAGTCCTGGCAACAAAGGAGGATAACAGCATGCTGGGCAGTATCTAACACGTGTATGGCCCCCACAAGGTTGAGAAATGTGATTCTCCATCTCTCCTAGGCAGTTGTTGGGCCGCATCTAGAGTGCATCCAAGTTCGAGCCCCCCCAGTATTAGAAAGTAGGAGAAAGATGATTTGAAGTTGTGAAAAACGAGTAAAACTGAGCAAAGGGCTACCAAAATAGCTGGAGAGCAAGGAGAGGCTGAAGGAAATGGGCTTGTTTGGCTTATAGTAGAGAGGACATGAAGGTGCAACCTTCAGTTCAGTGGAACAGGCTGCCCAGAGAGGCTGTGCAATCTCTCCATCCTTAGAGGTTTTCCACATCCAACTGGAGAAAGCCTCGAGCAACCTGGTCTGACCACATAGCTGACCTTGCTTTGAGCAGAGGATTGGACTAGAGTCTTTGGGAGGACATTTCCAGCCTGAATTATTCTATGATTCTATATTTGACCTGACATCAGTTTCACCTTGGTGTCTTTCTACAAGGCCAGGTATGTAAGGAATTTTCCATTGCCTTTAGGAGCAGAAAAGTAACCGTCTGACTCCACAGAAGACTGAAAGTCCTTAGAAGATTTTAAAGCAAATCTCTACTTTCCATTTCCCCATCTTTATTTTTAAAGCTATTAATATGTACTGTATTTGTGTCAATGCAAATATCATCAGCAGCTAACAAAAACACACCAAGATATATTTTTCTGTGTAGGAATTCTAAAGCCCATGGCCTAAAAAACTAGTTGCTTTTGAGATATGCTGTCATTTTCCAGGTGTTTCATGTTTGATTATTAAAATGGGTAACTCTTCAGTTTAAGAATCCTTTCATGTTAATATAAGATTTTGCCAGTGTGATCCAGGAGAAGCAAGAAAGCAAATACTACCTGAAAAAAATACTTGTTATAAATATGCTTTTATTCAGCAAAACATTGCTTAGCTCAGAAAAGTGAGATAATATGTGAAAAGGGAGATAATGCAATAAAATAATAGAGATTTGGATATTTGTGTCACATAGGGAGTACTTGTACAAGAGGTCACGGAGTATTTTGATTTAATTTTATAGTTATATTTCCTTTTTTTTGTCCTTTTTATTTTTTGGTATTTCTATTCCTTAATTTATATTTCCTCTCTTTTCAGGAGCCTGATTCTGAATACTCTGTGTTTCAGGTAAAATCATTTCTATTAACACAAATACTAGATGAAATTATTAGAAAGAGTTTCTAATATATTGAATACCTGTTTCATATTTTAAATTCTTAATATCATAAATTTGATTTTAGAAGATTTTATTTAAATTGGCAGCTTTGTTTTTAAATTGGCAGCTTTTTCTGAAAGTATATTTCTCTCTTACATATCTCTTTTAGTTTTATTCAGCAGTTAAGCAGTAGCTCACTGCCTTCTAAAAGCAAAATTCTAAATTGAATCTATCGTGAACTGAATGACCTTCATCGGCTGATGAGATTAGGAGAAAGGCAACATATATTTCACAGATACAACAGCCCTGGTGCTCTTAGAGCTCTGCTTTATATTTCATTTAATTGAATACATAAAAATTATAGTCTTATTTCTTGTGAGTCCTGTATTTAGTAGATAAGAATTTTTAATTGTTTGTTTGTCTTCCCAAGTAGAGGTCATCTATCTATAGCTTAAATAGCATTTGGCATTTTTCTCTCTCTTGCAGTTTTGATCAGAAAACCTATAAATATATTGCCACAGACAGTACTTTTAATCTACAGACTGAGACTTAATGAAGGAATAGCATGAGATATTTAGGATTGTTGTTGTCTGTTAAGTCACAAACTAGAAACCTAAAACAGGAAAAGTGGCAAAATGAACCTTTTGCAAAAGTGGCAAAGAGACATCAGGTTCTCTGATGTTTGTTATGGGGAAAAAACACAGTGATTTGCTTATATCTGTCCCAAATTTTAGCAGGTAGCATAGAGAAGCTGCAATTTCCGTAAAGGAAACAGTGTTATATGGGCAGTTACTGTATTTGGCTATTGAGATCTCTAATTTCAGCATATTCCCAGTATAGACAATGAGTATGTTTACTTCAGACATCCTTCAATCTCTATTAAAAAAAAAAAAAAGGAATATATTTAGTGTGGGAGTGTTAAGAAATTCAACAAACTGACGTGATGAAAATAAGATGATGAACATTTAACTGTAAAATTTCAAAGCTAATTAAAGGTTGTCACCTAACTGCATAAGAAGAAGCTAAAAAATAATAAAGCAGATCTGGATTATGTCTGTCTGGCCTGTTTTCAAATGATTTGCCCTCTTCATTTCTCCTCTTATTGAAACAAAGGTGTCTAGTTAAAAATGAACTCAGTGGCAAATTCCTCCTACATTTCTAATTGGAAATAATTTTTAAAGCATTGAGTCTTATCCTCAACTTTAGATAAACTTACTTTTGGTAAACAATTATAAAATTGTATAGAGATATTGTATGAGGTAAGTGCAGTGGAAGATATGGTTTAAAAAGTAATGAATGAGAAATACCCCTCTTAAATTATGATTTATGTTTTGAGAAGTCTGAAGTCCAGATCTTCTTGTGCTTCTTATTTAATGAGCAAACATTTCTGTGTTTGACCTTAACTTCCATAAATAGTAGCATATTCTGTCTCTCATTTGAAATGTCTCCTTAGTAGATATCAAACATGCTTTTCCACTGGAGTGCTTTACCGCATGTCAGAAAAGAAACAAATCTGATTATTTTGGTAATGAGTTCAGTCTGGAAAAATTACAGTGATCTGTTCAATGTCTGAAAGAAGTTCAGTGATTGATTTTTGTGGCTCATGCCCGCTTTATGAGTACATTGCAGGTCTATTGAGTTACCAATAAAGTGGTTGAATCTGCACTTAGATTGTGGTATGGAGGTACGACTACTTCTTTTTCCTCTACATTTTTTGCCGCTTGTATAGTGTACAAGAAGCTTGTCACATAGGCTAGGATTATGTTTGCCTTTCAGCGCTGCTTTCATAATCCTCCAAGACATTTCCTTTAGCCGTTTGTCAGTTCAGTTCACCAACAACTTCAGCACTTCAGTAATCTTGCAGTTTGTTAGAGATGCCTAATCTGTACATTTACACAGCTGATTCTTTGAAATAAGGAGTCTTGGATTATTCTCTTAAGGACTCTCCGTTGCTTGATAATGCTGTAGATGATGCCTTCAGCTCTTGGCTATTGGATTTTCTTTCTTTCTTTCGCTACTGCTTGGGAAAGGCATTATTTTGCATTACAGTGGTTTTACTTAACCTCCCTTCCCCATCAGTTTGCCTAAGATATCTGTCACCTCTTTAACAGCAGTCATGGCAGGGGATGTCTTCAAAAGCACAAGACCTCAAACAGTTGCCTGTGACCTAAATCAGTCGTAACTTTTCATGAGGCATGAAGTTCTGGCCTCCAAACTCCATGGCTGTATCTGTTCCATTTTGAAAGAGCTACCTGACATCTGCTGCACGACCCCATTCCTCTACTTTGAGGTGGGCAGGCAGGGAACTGCCTTGGCTGACAAGCTAAATCATCTACTGGGGCTTCTTGGGTACCTGGTGTCCTAGTGTGCTTTTTCAGATGTGCACATTGGGTCCTGCTTCAGGCTGCACTTGTTACCCACATGTCAGGCAACTCTTGATTTTAAAAGTGACCTTAGGTCACTAATGTAGTAGAGTGTACACATTGTACATTAGAGTATATCTAAACAGATGTATACTAAACTGTATACTCAGTTGTTTAAATCAGTACCCTACCCAAACCTACTAAAACTTTGAAAGAAATAGCATATTAAAAAATATTAAAAAAGGACAAAAATGCTAATTAGGTTATTATTAATTTTATCTCTTAAAGGTATTTGTCTTTTTTGCTTTATCCTTATTCAGGCTGCTTGGAGCCTAAAAACACGAGCGTTGACAGAAATGGTGTATGTGGATGAAATCGAAGTGGATCAGGAAGGAATCGCGGAGATGCTGCTTGATGAAAATGCTGTTGCTCAAGTTGCACGTAAGGACAACTTTCACTTAGACACACTGAAGCAGCAGAAGCTCTTTGAGCCATTATTGTCATCTAGGATAGAGTAGCATGTATTGAACTGACCTGTTCAACCTTTTGGTTGCAACATTTATTTTAGATTATTTTTACGTTACATGGTAAAATTGAGATATACCATGTAATACTTTGGACTGGTAGCCAGGAGATTGGACAAACAGCATTTTTGTCAGTTTTCCTTTACGTCTTTGTACTCCTTAGGTCTTTCCCTGATCTGTGCTCTTTTCAGTGTGTAGATTTTTTTAACCCTTTGGACTCTATAGGCAGCTAGAGAAAAATATCCTGTTGATGTACTGTGAATCCCATCCTTTTATCTACACTGTAGGCAACTGTGTGGCCCAAATCTGACATCATTCTTTTGCACAAAATGTACGTCCCAGAAATATTTGCTGAAGTGCTTTTGCTGTCTCCTGCACAGCTCCTTCCCAGGATATTCCTTCAGCCTTGTCATTGCTTCGGGAGTACAGCTCTTTTCAGGTTCCTCAGTTAAATTCTAAGTGAGCTGTCAGTAGTAATCTTCCACTTTTTTTTTAGCATTATTTCTGTTTCTCTCTGTTATTCTGGTCCAGTCACTATGAATTTTTTTTTGTCTGTTTTTTGAATAATTAAAAGCTTTTCTCACCTGGTTAGGAGGCAGCAGTCACATATTTGTATTGTGATACAAATATCAAAACGCTTGTTTCACAAATATTCTTTTTTAATTTAAAAAGAAACCACTGGTTTTAGTTGCCTGGTCACATAAAGAAAAAATCAAGCAGTCAAGTGCAGCAAGTCAAACTGCACATTATGATAATCTAATTATATGTATTTGTCTCAAAAACAACATAACTGTGTTACTTACACTATTATTTGATTTTATGCTGCTGTGGTAGAGACCATCTGCCAAGAAAAATGATTTGATTAATATTATTGAGAAATGGGGCATTCTAGAGAAATACATTCATACTATATTTAAACTGCAAAAGAGATGACTTTCTGGGTGGCATGTCACAGATTCCAGAGCCAAAGAAAGTCATTGTGATAGTACAACCTACATACACTACTGAATTGCTCTGATAAGACTTTGCTCTTCCTGTTTTAAATCCACTGGATGTGCTTGAAGTAGCGTATAGTTTTTCAGAAGCTGTAAAAACTTCCCAGAGAGAAAGAATCCTCTGCAGTCTTTAGAAAATTATTATGCTATTTAAATTTGATAGTTTTATCAGTGTGTACAGTATTGCTAGCAGGAATTATCAAGTTCAGCTTCAGCTGGTAGTTCATCTTGTATGTATTATGCACAGTACAAAATCTCTATTTTTAAAAGCTTATTTTCAAAATAAGTGCTTAAGGACTGTGATGATTTCACCTGCTGATCTTCTTCTTGATAAGCTAAACTATCATCTCATTCTGAATCATATCTTTAAATTTTTGAAGGACTCTTGAAATGCTCCTCTGTATCTTTTCCAATTCATCCACATTCTTTTTCAGTTTTCAAAACGAGACAGTAGTCCAGTAACAACGACAGCCACCTAGAAAATGTGTTTTTTCTTCTGCAGCTTGATTTTACTTTGCTTATGTATCTAAATTGCACTTTTGATAAATAAGGTAGGCACAGCTATCACTTCCACTTTTACACATGACTTAATAAAAACGGGTGCTTGTTGACTGTGGGCTTTTTTTGTTCCTGTTGGAATGCATTAGCAATACTTGATCTTGACTCAGAGTCTTTTACTGAGACTTCCAAGATATCCTGCCTCATTCTAATGACAGTTGACATTTCTAAAAAAATGTAGAATACCTACTGTATTAAAACTGATATTGTATGCACATTGCCTGCAAAACAGTTCAAAGTCTTTTGCCTTAGTTACATATCCACTTCAATTTTGCATCTATCCTTATTCAGTTTTTTCAGGCAAAGCTGTCTACCTAATAATTTTACTTTCGCTTGCTGCATTAATTGCTAAATTAAATAGGCTTTACAAAGAAAGATACTTTTGATGATTCCTGTTCACAAATGCATTGTGCAGCATGTGTTGCTCTTTCCTCTTGATGTCTGTTCATACCTGGTTCAGTTGGGACTCACAAAGTAAGGACCCACAGCTGAGTTGCCTGGGGGCAAGGCCAAGGGGACTCTGTCCTTAAAGCATTCTCCAAGTATGCTAAAGCTACAGAGCCTCCTTGGTGTTCACACACATGTCTGAAAAGAGGGATTGCAATGACTTGCAATTTACATATTATTTTGGTAGTTAAAAAGTAGTCTAAAAAGTGAAACACTAGTTCTTTGCCCCCTAGGCTGAAAAGTTGAAAGACTCTCCCTCTTTCTCAGGAGAATGCTGTAGCTGTCAGGTTACAAAGTTGGCTGGGTGAACTTTCTATCTATCCTGTTGTTCAATAATGAATGCAAAATTTGCATAACTTTAAAGCAAGAGGGAGCCGAAAGGTAGCTATCCAGCAGAGAGAGAATCCTGAGCTCTGGTCCTTGTTTCAATATCACTTGCATGTTTATTAGCATTTACAAAGGTCATCATACATTTTTTTGGCTTTTGTTATCACTAAAAACAGCCACTGTCAGGGAGCTACTGTACTTTTAGAGACAAAAGTGCTTGATGTCAGCCTGAGATAAGGGAGCTAAAAGGTATCTAGGTTGATTTAGAGGGGCAAATATAGGGCTTATCTTAGAAGAAAAGGAGGTAGGAAATTATCTACCCATCAATTTAACTTCAATTCTTAACAACATTTAAAGCTGTTCATAAGCTAGAAAATTTTTAGCAGACTGTGTTGGGGGTAGGGGATATATAAAGATATAAAGACATATCATTCTCCATTTTTCCTGTAGCCAAAAAAAAAAAAAAAAAAAGTTTCTGGCTGCTTAATCACATTTGGGCAGTGTTTTAATTCCAGATAGGGAATGTTCCATTTCAAATTAGCTTGATCCTGCTGTTCAGATAACTATTTTCTTGTATAGTATCTGTTGCTATTAAGATGCTGTTGAGGTTATAGTCCATATCTGTTGTAGTCTGTATGTGAAGACTACATACATTGTGTGTCTCCACTGAAAAGAAGGGGTCAAGTGGTATCCAAAACTCGAGTGAAATGGATGTTGTGCAGGTACTAGTGATGAGGTCATTGAAATCTTTAGGATATATGGGGAGGAAAAGAAGGGACAAAACATCCTTGATATCTCTAGAGGAAGGAATGAGAAGGACATCATCTTCTATCTACCAAGAGAATTACTTTTTCCCGTGTTCATTATGACAGATATCTTACAGTAGCCTAACAGTTTACCACAATAAGATAGTATTATGCACTCTTTTTCTCGTCCTCTCTCCTCAGTTTGAACAAAATCTTGCAGTTTATCAAAAGACACATTTTTTTAAAGTCCCCTGTACCTTAATGTGAAATGAGCAGTGTTCTTATTTTATAGGACCAGGAACATCTTTGAAAGTCCCTGGAACTAGCCAAGGTGGAGGTCCCAGCCCAGCTGTTAGGTATGTGTTTATTTATTTATAGGAAATGAGACTTGAAGAATGTTCTACATAAATGAGAAAATCCTAAACTTAACATCTAAAATGAAATGCTTTAGATGTAATTGTTTAAAGTCTCTCTATCAATAAATACTACACGAGGATAATGTGTTTAACACCTCCAGGCCAGTAACTCAGTCAGGAAGACCTATTACAGGATTTGTAAGACCCAGCACACAAAGTGGACGGCCGAGTACTATGGAACAGGCTATAAAAACACCTCGAACAGCTCTCACAGCTCGTCCAATTACTAGCGCTTCTGGGAGCTACCCCAGGCTAGGAACGGTAAGTTTCAGGCTGCTCTTATAGAGATAGTTTTGTTGGCCATAATATATAACACAGAGACATAGTGTTTGACTTTAAAGTTGTGTCTAAACTCAAGCTGAGCCTTTCTGATTTCTTGTTTAAAGTGTTTTCAAAGCACTGTTTGAAAATGTAACCTCCTATTAATTTGCAAGTCTGTTTATGTATAAAATACACCTACAGACACAAGTTCTGTGAGATCAATTTTTATTCACTAAAGACCATAGAACTCTATATTGTGTTTTTACCTCAAGTATGTGGAAACCTCTTCCAACCATTTCAGTTTCCTAGAAAGCAAGTGTTAATGTCTCAGTACCTGTCACTTTAGAAGATAAGGAAAATTGCTACTTGTTTAGGCACTTCCTAACAATTAGAAAGAGGGTGGAAAAAAGTACCCCCCCCCCCCCCAAGGCTATTCATCCTACCTTTCTTAAAGATAGTATGTGAGTAGAGAGTTATATTAGGCTAGATTCATGATTTAAAAAAAAAAAAAAGAAATTCTGTAAGATAAATCCCTCTTCCATAGTACAGCAGTGGGTTTACAGAATGCTTAATTTTTATTTTTCCCTGTATATTTATGCTAATACTTCATTTTTTTCCGTGAAAAATGCAAAGACTTTCTCACCATTTTTTTTTCTCCCCTTCAGGCCACAATGCTGACAAATCCAGATGGCCCTTTCATAAACATGTCTCGACTGAATTTAGGAAAATATGCTCATAAACCCAAACTGGCAAAGGTATGTAATTATTTTGGTTGACATTCTTTTATGTATTTCTAACTTTCTGGTATCATTTCAGTGTAACTGTACGTGATATTGTGCATCTGACCAGTGATATAAAGTTCAGACAAATAGTGCATGTTTGCTTTCTGTCCATAAGCAGTAGTTATCAGACTTGGAACTGAAAACATGTCTGAAGAGGTAATTCTGAAAGCATAAGTTGGGAAAAATATTTGGATAGAAGAAAATGTAATAATCTAGAATTACATATAGGTAAGAAAAAAAGAAAAAAGAAAAGAAAGGAGACACAGCAGAACACTCCGCATTACTCAGAAATAAAATTTTATCATACGAATAGATGGTAATACTGACCTAAAAATGCTCAAGTGGTTTGGATTTTTCCCTTTGATTTTATAGAAAGAGTCAGTGATCTTTTTGTATATAAATACTTTTTTTTTGTTTTTGTTTTTAAAATAGATTTTGTGATTGACAGTCATTGAAACTAAGGCTGTCTACCAACAGAATAGGTTTGTCAGTATTTCTGCTCAAGTTTGGGGTTTCAGCCTTGACTGGGGAGGACCTAAAGTCTGATGCTGTGTCACTGTGTGGCCTTTCAGCAGAATCTTCTCCCAGTAGGTCCACTTGTATGGGTCATGTTTTGTGTGTGTAGTTCATTCACAGAAAGCAACTGTTGCACTAAGACCGAGAATTCACTTTGCAGAGGGGGTATCCAAAGACTATCAGACAGACTCTTCTCTCATGAATGTTTGGCTCATGACCTAGAAGTGAACTAACTTTTGTGTATGCAGTCCAGATGAGAAAGTGTACTCTATTAAGCTAAAACTGGTCATTTTAGTTGTTTTTCTTAAATGACTAGCAAATTCTTTTCTTTTTTAATGCTGCTTAAAAAAAAAGAGACAACCATAAGAAATCAATCTTTATTAGTTTATCTGTTTATAAACATCCAGATTTTAATTGTTAGAGAACTATATACACTATTAAGTATGTAGGGCAACTGTCAGATGAAATATTTATTTTCAGTGACAGCTCTTAGGCGTGCCACACACATTTTTAATTTTTCTCTTAATTAGTGGTTTTTCTTCCAAGGTAAAATAGCTCTGTCCTCCTCCAGTTTCATGCAGAAAAATGCTAAAGCCAAAAAATACGAAGCAACAATCCTCCTGGTAATGTCCATATACAAGTGCACTTGTCAGTATTATGATGCTAATATGTTATGACATGAATGTTTCACACAGAATGCAAAAGCTAATTTTAAAGTTAGAGCTACATGAATTTTTGACTTTTCTTTTGAGCAAAATAGCACTAAGGCTGAAGCCAAAGAAGGAAGCTAGGCTGCATTTTGTGTGTCATTGACTAATGTTTTTAAATTTGTAGAGCTGTCACCTTTCTCAGGTGCAAGGCAATGGATGATAAATTCTGCAACTATTAAGTTCATATAGTAAGTCTTTTTAAACATGTAGGTGTTCCTGTGTGTTTAAGCATACAAGCATGGGCAAAGTAGGTATGCAGGTAACTTATGTCTGACTATCCAGGTGCAAGCCTAGTGCAGGAAGCCTTGCAGTAGACATCTGAGATAGGATCTGTCCCTTGAGAGAGTCTGTCTTAAATTTCAGTTAGCAGTTGGTTTATGCTGTAGTACAGGAAGGTTTATCTTTTTCAGCTTGTGGATTTTAATAGTTACTCAGATAAATCTAGATATTTTTATCTAGCTGAATGTCCAGTCATTTAAATACATTTGAAAGTCAGGGCAGGAAGATAGTGGCAGTAAATTTCTCATGGTAGCTATCCGAAAACCATCCCCCTTATCACTTTTAGACTTACTTGCTTTTATTGTATGATTTCTTATTATGGAACTTGGTTTCACCACTTATTTATTTTCTCTTATTATTTTTGTTTTTAATTATCTTCTGCCTATTCTAATCTCCTCATAACTGTATTTTTGCTAATCTTTCTTTATCTTGTGGTTTTCTGTTCAGATCATTTTCAGAACAAAAGTAGGAGAAAAATAGGTTGAGACATCAACCTCATCTGACAAGGCAATTAGTCAGCAATTCTCTGACTTCCTTAATGTTAATCTTTTAATAATTTTGCCTAAGGAAAATTAGTAGAGTCATGGAAAGCCTTTGGAGGATTGCTGGTTCATTCTTTCATTAATTCTTGGTTATGTGACTGCTTTTTGATTAGGAAAGCTTATATTTATATTGCCTTGGAATTATTGTGAGCGAAGAACATGATTATGAAAAGTTATTGTAGCCTAGCTAATACACATAACTTCTTTAAGCTTTGATGTTATGATGTCTGAGCACCAATTTTTAACAGTATTGTGTTGCTGGCATTTGTCATTTATGAGCAAAAAGGAAGTTGAAGCTTTTTTGCAGATTCTAAAGTTCTGTGGGGTTTGAAGTTTTTTTTTATCCTGGATGACAAAAAAAATTTACTCGGCTACATTTTTAATAATTCTGGGTTTAGATTACTTAGATTTTGAATTACTTTAAGTACTTAAATACACATTTCAAAAAATATTTGTTAGATTACGGGTTGATTTTACATTTAAGATGTCACAGAAATATTACTGGGATTTCAAATTTTCCATCTCTTTCAAATTATCGCTACTTTTTTTTTTCCCAAACTGAATTTAATGAAATTAATTTCTTTTAATGACAATGTAGAACATCTATAGTTTTGTTTCTATTCAAATCATAACTAAATATGAATTTCAACAATTGTGATTGTAGATATGATTGTTATCATAAAAAATTAACGTCTGCCCAAAGTGAGGAATATCCTGAATTCTTCTAAGATAACTTTAGTTGTTTTTTTATCTTCTAACCTTACAATGTTTTAAATATTACTTTGACAGGCGTTGTTTGAATATATTTTTCACCATGAAAATGACATTAAAAATGTGAGTATCTGTACTTTTCATTTTCTGTTTTTATTCCATCTCATTCTGTTATTTCTGTCTTTATTCTACTAAATTAAGGATCTAACTAGTATTTCATATCTTAGTACATAAATGAAGCTTTAAAACAAATTTCTAAAAAATCATAGAATCATTATGGTTGGAAAAGACCTTCAAGATCATCAAGTCTGACCTTAAGCCCTTCAAGACCATGCCTGCTAAACCATGTCCCAAAATAGTATCGAGGAAATAGGCAGTGGAGACTGGCCAGACTTTTCTCTATTGCCAGCAGACATTCTGTGGATGATGTGTTGACTGTGTGCTATATAGGTGTGCTTACCTCAATTCCAGTGCTGCAAAATTACGTAATCCTTTCTATAAGTGTACTAATTTACAAATATCAAGATCCCAGTTCTTCTCTTTTTTTCAGAAGCAAAAATAATATTCTAATGCTGTTAAAATTAGTCAAAATCTGACAAAAATAGATTGAACTGAACATCACTGGACATTTGAAATTACTGGGATGATTGGTCTTCCCAGTAATACATTTTGGTCAAGGAAGAATAGGAGTAGGAAGTATTTGGTGAAACTGCAGTAAATTAAAATATCAACATGAGTTTGATCTCTCTAGCAATGAAACTCCATAGGGTGAGATATATTGTGATCCTAGTGGAAACATTATTTTGTCCATACCATTGTGTATAACATTTATTTCATTAAAGATTTTGCCATTAATTTTTAACATCTCTAGAAAAATCTGACAGTTTGCCCAAGGCCTAAGGAATTTACAGTACTGAGCTCTGGGATTAATACAGCTTTTCTAATTATACATTTTTCCTCCTGCACTATCCAAGACCTTTATTCAGCTGCTCTTTCTATGTTACTGTGCTGTATGGGCAAGATCATGTTCAGGTACTTATGGTTTAAACTTGCATAAATACTTGGGTCAAATTTGTGGGAGTTTCTTGGCAGCTTACCCAGGAGTAAATTACTCAATAAAGTGTCAAAATATTTCATTTCATTATTTCATTACTCTGTTAGGTGTATGTTTACAATTGAATTGTAATCAAAATTTCTGCTCAAAGTTTGTATGAAATGATTGTCTCATGTCAGTAGTGTGAAGCTGACTAAACTGAATTTTATGCAGCAATCCTGACATATGATTAGAGTGATGAGAGTTGAAGTTAAATTCCTAACTTGCTTTTTTGATCCTGTCATTTTCAGCTGGTTGAACAATAACTTTTCTTGGCATTGACATAGATCAGAATGATTTCCGAATGCACTGAAGTAGGATGCTTTTAATCTAGTACAAAGTGTTACAGTTTCAAACTTTTGCTGTATTGCAGAGAGTGCTTTTAAGAGTATTGGATTGCAATGAACCATCGCCCAAAACATGGCTGCACCAGTAAGTGCAAGTGTCAGAGCCGTCAGAGAGAAATAGCAATTAACATTTGCTTGTTCTGATACTAAACATTAAGAAAAAGGAGAAGAGAAAAAGGCCTCAAGTTGTGCCAGGGGAGGTTCAGGTTCTTCATACGGAAGAATTTCTACACAGAAAGAGTGTTGAAGCATTGGAACAGGCTGCCCAAGGAAGTGATGAAGTCACCATCCTTGGCCATGTCCAAAAAAGGTGTAGATGAGGCACTTAGGGACATGGATTAGCAAGCATGGTGGTGATGGGTTTATGGTCAGACTAGATGATCTTGAAGCTCTATTCCGGTAATCAAGGAATCACAAAGAATCATGGAAGGCTTCAGGTTGGAAGGAACCTCTGGAGATGCTCAAGCAGAGACACTGACAGCACAGGCACAGGGTCGCATCGTTCTTTGACTCTATGGAAGAATCTTTTTGTGTCACTAATAATGAAGAGATATTTGTTACTGAGAACCCAGTTCTCAGGAATAAAAGAATCACTTAATAAGAGGTCACGCGTGCCTGTGAGCTACGCTTTAAGGACATAGAGATTTTCTAGGTTGAAGAAAACATTTTAGATACTCTAAAAAAAAACTGTAAAATGTTTTTTACATAATAACGCATATATCTTAAAAGTCCTTGATGAGAACCCAGGATCACTATCTTTAAGAAAAATCTTGGATTTATTTATTTATTTTTTTAAGTACTCTAGCCTCAAAATTTAGATCTGTATAAAAAAGGAATGTGAATTCTTCACCTGAAGAAGATTGTGGAAAACAAAGTAGCAGGTTATTTCTTTTCTTGAGCAGTTTCCCAGCAAATTAATAGTAGTTTTAGCCCAGGATTATGATCACAGCACAGAAGTAGTAGAGAGCGTATGCTCCTTTGTCACTTTGTTGGTCTAGAATGGTCTTTACTGTTTTCAACTTTGTTATTTAAAAATCAAAGGGAGTTTTATCATTTCAGTTCTGCTTAGTATTCAGACAATCTAGAGAAAGAATAAAGTGCAGTTTCGTTCAAGGAATAGCCTTAATCAATGTGCATTCAGCTGGGAAAACAGTGCTAGGAATATAGTTCAAATTAAAAGTAAATACATTTATAAGCTATCAATTACCAGAAACTGAGGGGTGGAGGAAAAGGAGAGAAGCGTGTTGCTTCTTCAGCACTTGAAAATGCATTCAAAACTCTTTCATTTTACTTGATGAAAAATTAAACAGTTTCCTAAAGAAAAATGAAATGGGTTTGTTTGTTTAAATTAACGAAATAAATTTATTTAAATAAAATATTACCTTAGCTATCAGTGTTCTTGCTTGTTTTCTGATGGACTGATATATGTTCAATAACTGGCTTTCTGCACTAGTTGAAGTACTTTTAAAAGGCATTTTGGGGGCTAAATGCTGTGAGAGCAGGCAGTTTAAAATGCCTCACCAAGAACAGCTCAGCTTTTACTTATTTATTTCAGCATTAAACTGTGTTACTGGATTCTGCTGTTATTCTTAGGCGAATATTGATGGCCAAACACTTAGTTCTGAGAGAGAACGATGAATGTACATTACACTTGGGGGTCAATAGTCAAGACCTCTGTTATTTTCTTGGTTCTTCCTAACAGTCTGAAGTTTATACTCTCTGAGAGGAAACTATTTATGATGGACTTATATAATAGTTTTGCAAACTATAAAATCCTGAAGACACTTGCTAAAGGAAATTATTTTAAAATGACTATTGCTCATGTCATTTACTCAGCACTCTGTTAAACTCTCATATGCTGATTTATTATAAAGAAATCAACATTTGTGACTAGAATTACTACCATTGAGCAGCATGAGAAAGAAGAATTGACTCACTATAGTTCATATCAATATACATTTTCTTGTTGCATACAATCTCATGTATGAAATTAGTGAGTTTCAAACAAATGTACATTTATTATTTTATTTTTGCACAGCTATAGTAAAGGCTTGTAAAGCTACAAGCTGCTTTATTCTGAGTAGAATCCTAGTAGAAAATCTGAAAAACTTAGTTATCCTAAAGTTTAACTAAGGTGAGCAATGTTAAAAAAAAAAAAAAAAAAAACACTCAGAATCATGCGAAATATAGCTATAGCTAAGACATCTACTTTCTTTTAATTTAAAATTATTCTGATTCATTCTGTATAAAAACTGCTTTTCACCAGAGGGGGAAAAAAAGTATTAGGGTTTATTTATTTATTCATTATCTGTACAAATAAAATAACTGAGAGAAAAATAAATCTCTACCATTAATTCTGGGCTAATATGTTTGTTGATAGAGACTACTGTACACAGGAGTAACTATGCAAAGGGTGCAATAGAGTAACAGTTTCAGCAGACTGGCATTCCCAGATAATGAATGCTATCCTAAAATTATTAAAACTTTTGAAACAATTAGTGTTTAAGATGTAGATTTGAAGTGAAAATCCTTAAGAAGAAATAACAATATCTGCCATTTTGTGAAAGGAGTAATCCTCAGTCCATGGTATTTTCCTTTACTGTTTATTAACACAACTACACTAATACTTAGAAAGGCACAGGAGTGTCACGAGTCTAAGAAGACTTATTATTGTTATTATGGATTGGTTTTAAATTAATGTGCTGTGCAGACTCTACATTGATTTGTACCTTAAGTTGGCAATTAAATGTTTTGTTGTAAACTATGAGAGTAAATTGTGCTTGCAATTGGTATTGAGATGGCAAATGGAAAGCTTTGAGTTTTAAAAGTTTATTTTAATCAAGTTATTAATGTTTCAAAGGCCACATTATCAAAAGATTTTGTTGTAGTGCAAGCTGAAAGCATATCTTCTAGCATGTAAAAAGCTGGCATTTATATGTACAAAGTCATATTGATAGCACTATTTCTGGATTAACATTTTTTAGTTGCATATCAAAAACAAGGTGGTATGTTGACTGTTTTTAATAGGAAAAAGTAGTAACAGGAAATACTTAATTTCAGAAACTAATTTCATAATGAAGTTATACTTTGTTTCTTGATGCTGGGTAATAAGCTGCACGAATCTGCACGAATAGATGCTGAGCTGAAGACATTATTATCTGCTGAGCCTGAAGTACTCTTACTTCCACTCTCCAACAGGAGCCAAAATTGTTAGCCTTGCCTAAAATGCTTATCAAAATAATTAGGATACCTCAATGGAAGCTGAAAGTCGAGCTACAGAAAGGGTATTTTCTAAAATTTTCCCAGTGAACTGTATTGAGACAAGTTTGCTTATATAGCTTCAGATGAAATTGGAGAAGTGGAGAAGGGAAACTGATAATTTCTGTTTTGAAACAGACATCTTCCCATCGCAGCTGTAGTGTCCAGAGGTTGTATTGTGCATTTAGCCCTTAAAAAACATCATCAGGCAAGTAAAATAAGCTTTGGCCCATGGGATCCAGCAGCCTGAGGACTTCAAGGGTTCCACATGCCTAGAAGAGCTAGTGAATTCCGAGCTCCTCAGTATCCTGTATTCCATCAGAGAACCTGTGATTGACAACCCCCTCTTTCCAATTTAGTCAGAAAGTGCAAGTCCATAGCTTAAATTGCTGCTGGAAGGAAATTATTCTTTTCTACACAGCCAAAATTAACTAAGGTGTCTTAGCTCCAGGGGCTTTGCTGAACTATGCCAAATCTATACCTGAATATCAGGTTTATGCAGCCTGTTTCATAGCAGGAGAAAAATGAATAGAATCTATTGCTAGATGTCACTAAATTAGGCTGTTGTGGGTATTTTGAGCATTCATATGACACTATCCTGGGAGTTATTGGTTCCTCTGCTATAAAGTGCTCAGAATACTTCTATATCGCTCCTAATAGAAGGTTAGTTTCTAATTTCTATAGTCTGCAAAATGTTTATGCAGGAGCAAATATTTCGTTGTGAAAAATACCACTTTAAAGCTTTTTATTTATGATGGTATCCCTATAATAGAATTCTTAAATGTAGCATGGTTTTAGTATGTTCTAGAATAAATTAAATTAGGCCCCAAAAAAAAAAGCACTAACAATTGCTTATTTGATAAGTTTCTGTACAGAACAGGCATCAATTTTAGACCAAAATGCTGAAATTTGCATTTTAATGCAGGACATCTCTAACTTTCATACCTACTTTTCAGCTATCTCTGATGTAAGAGGTTTTAGAAACCACCTCCAATAGCTGTTTGTTTCTTAAAATATTTGTCTATTTTAATTCATTGAAAAATTACTTGCCTCATAGGCTTTGTAAAGAGCTCCCAGAATGAGATGCAGCCTCATGCTAATAATGAGAATTCTTGCAGTATTTCAGACTGGCTGTACTGAATTGTTCATTCTATATTTATTTACTTGTTTTCAGGAAACTGAAAGTGAAGGTGGATGGGAAACTGGAACAGAATGATAGCTCATGTGAATATTATATATACTCTGAAGAAGCAACTTGGCAGTCTAATCAAATGAATTTCATATTTGCTCTTTGACTTACTAGAAACTATTAGGATTACGTGTTTTTATGGGGACGTATCATCCTTACAGCTCTTATGTCATAAACTATTCAAAATATTAAATGTTAAGTAGTGCTTTCTGCTTAGATTTACTAAGGCTCTTTCGTCAAATTTATCTTTTTACAAAAATCTTTCCATTGTTTACTTCAATTTTTCCTTTACTTTGCTTACCACAGAAGTATAGATGTTAACATGATGGCTTTGTTTTGGAAGGCTCTAGATTTGGCAGCCCTTGCCACTGAGCATGCACAGTTCAAGGACTGGTGGTGGAAGGTCCAAATTGGGAAGTGCTATTACAGGTAAGCTCTTTTCCTTTCTTTTCTTCTTTTATTTTGTGATGAGTGGCTGTGGGTGCTGGACCACAACTGCTGTGTGTGTTATGTAATATTGGACATTGAGAAATACCACTCTCTATTTAGCTGGCAAGTACTGTACTTATAGTTAAATCTGCTTTAACAACTGAGGAGATTATGGTGCACTACTTGAGGTAAAGACAGCAGCAATGACTACCTTTAAGTAACTGAACTATTTACATTTTTAACAAAGATGACGTGCTTCAAAATTCCTGGCAGAAAATTCAGTAAATAAATGCAAAGAACTATTATTAAAATGAATGAACTGTCCAAAAAATTACAATTTTAGTTTGAGAAAATATCTGTTAGTGAAGGTTTCAACTTAGTGAAATAATAATTTATATTAGACAATTTCTGCCAGTTATGCATTGCCCAAGAAATACGGAGCAGTTTGGAAGATGGAGGCGAGGCTCAGGGCTGGCACCCAGGAGCCAAGTGCCTGACACCAGTGACACACAACTGTGACCCTCTGAAGCGAGGGCAGCAGCCGTAAAGCACAAGGAATGCACTGGTTATTACGAAACACGAGCATCATCTGCAGACTTCGCAGCTGTAGAAGCAGTACTTGGATGAGCAGACTGGTAATGCAAAGCAATTAGCCCTTTAAAATTCCATGTTCCTTGTTGTATCACGGTCAGAAACATTTTGGATGCCTAAGCTAATGAAATTCTTCATTATCCTTAACCTTTATTTGATGTTCTTTAGGAGATAAGGCTGATTTTTTTTTGAACTTAGAGGCCATTCATCAATTTGAGGATTTTGTGAGTAGTGCTGTAGAGAGTAAAGCCTCCAAGCACGCATATGTGCTTCCAGCATCAGAATTACATTATTTACCTGCTGACTCTGTTTCTTTGCTCACCAAGTAGATGTGCTCTTTGGCTAAGGGAAAGAAAAAGCAATTTGGATGTGGAAAATGTACATTTTTGCTGTTGTTGATACAAGCCTCCCATTTTGAGACATTCTGTAGTTTATTTCACACTTACAGATCACTGCTGTTTATTCTAGAGTAATGCAGCATTGCAAAACAAATGTATGTATACACATTATGTATGAAACAGGCTCCTGCAGGGCTTGTGTGCCATACATTCCCCTAAGAACAAGTCTTCAGGGAGTCCATGTGAGGAGTCCAAGCTCTGGTAGAGAAGACTGCATTGTAATGCAGAGGGCAGTGACTTAGGATTTCATGGATTTGCCTTTCTTCTTGTTTTTCAATGCTTATCTTTGTAACCTAAATATACATAAAAGAGTTTTTTTTGTTCACATGCACACAAATGCAAGTATTCTTTTGACTAGTTCCTGTTTGGCTTAGTGTGCACTGCTTTCTAGTGTAATCGGTGTATTTTTAAAAAAGCACAGAAAATGTATGTCATCTTATCTGTTATCTCTTTAGGTTAGGATTGTATCGAGAAGCTGAAAAACAATTTAAGTCAGCCCTCAAGCAACAGGACATGATTGACACAATCTTGTATTTGGCAAAAGTAAGTTCCTGATTTGCTTATTCTATACGGAAGTGAAATTCCAACCTATCCCTGAAAAGTCCACATACCAGAGTAGCTGAGCATCCAGGTCAGTATTCTGTGAAGATTTATAGTGTGTGACCTCCACATAGACTTGAGGCAATTTATGTTAACAGCTGAAACAGAATTAATGTATATAGCTTGAAAATATATTTTGTATTTTCCAGTTTTCCCCCCCAAAAAATTCTTTCTTCTACTTGACTGTATTCTTTGCACTCAACTCTGGTGAGGGATATACAGCTAAAGAAGCACTGGAGTTTCAGGATGGAAAACGATATAGCTATCTGTGGTTGCCTAGGAGACTAATGCAATAAATCGGCAAGGGATGAGGGAAGCTCAGAAACCCAGTTTCACCAGCAAAAGCAAAATAAGGGGAGCTTACAGGAAGCAGTCGGAGACCTTGAAAGAGAGAGTGCTCTCAAATAAACAAAGGCATTAAAAGGCAATAATAAAAGACAAAATAAAGGCATTAAAAGCTGTAGAAGAACAGCTGGCACAGCCAAGCGCTGGAGTTACATGTTTGTGAGGGTACATGTCAAATTCTAGACATTTTCTAAGGCATTCGAGAAGAAATGGCACGTGAAAAACTAAGACTGCGTTTTTCTTCCTTTAGTACTAGAAGAGGATGAAATCAATTGCTGTTTGTCAGCTCCCTTCAAGCTCACTGGCACAAATCTGTCCAAAACAAGTCATCATTACTAGCAAATAATTCAGATGTTTATTTTATGGTACTGGCTCATATTCTCATATTTGCTGTACCTTTGTAGTTCTTGAGTTCTTACATGTGGTATTTAAATTGTTACCATTGGTATCTGAAGACTTGTCTTGGGGCAACCGTGTTTTTGAGCTAGTTTACTCCATTTAGCTAAGTAATTTTAGATTTCAGTCACTAGCAGGAGTAATTCTGCAAAGCACTTGAGCTATACAGGGTGATAAAATAAGTAATTTGATTTATAAAAACAGTGATAGAAGCTGTGCATCCCCCTGTATCGTTAATAACCTGTGTAGAAAGAGCGTTCGAACATCTACCTCCCACTGCATAGACCAGCTAGCTCAAGCATAAGGCATCACACAACATGATTTATGTTGGACTGTGAGTGGGCAGGTAACAGAATAGGGCACTGAGTTACTGCTCAGACTGATCATACTGCAACAATAAGGCTAGAGTTAAACAACCATAGAAAAATAACAGGATTGTGTCAAGTTCTGAGCGAACTAGACACCATGGCATCAGTTAATTTTCTAGTTATGTTCATTAGTACATCTCTTTTGAAATGTAACTTATGGAAAATAAGACTGAAAGAAAGCTTAAAAAGTAAAGATCTTTTTATACAAGTCAGGAATGCTGTGACTTTATGAAGTATTCCAAGACCCATCAGATCAGTCTGGAAGAGGCATGTTTGGACCAGAGATAGGAGAGGTTCCAAAGGGAAAATACAGGCACTTTCCATGTAGCATCTAAAGCGAAGCGATTGTAGGTGCAGTACTCTGCAAGAGCAGGTCTCCCCAGAGCAGCTGTGCTACATGGAGCCCATGTTTTATACCAGGCAGCGTGAAACGTGGCGTGCCTGGGCATGGGACTAATCCTGTATTAGAGTTTGTGACCATGTTGCCTTGGCTCCGTGTTCACTTGGGTGATCTGTAATGAGTGTATCTTCGGAGTGAACCTCCAGCTGAAGCATAGACCAGACTTGAGCCATCATGCTGAGAAAACATAGTAGGCAAACAAACAAACAAAAATAAAAAAGAGCTCTAGTTGTGCTTCCTGTCCTCCGTTTTTTGCTTTTTTCCTTTAAGGGAATGAAGACGGCTGTGCTTCATAGCTCTAACAAATTAAAAAAGAAGGTAAAAGTTAATTAAAATTCTCTTACTTCTAAAAAAGCTGAATTATTTGAAGGTATGGCAGCATGCACTGGCTTACTGCACTTATTTAAGATAAATTAAACTCAGATAAGTCACTCACATCTGTAATACTTACAAATAAAACCACCAGCTTAAGCTCTTCCTAATTAACAAATTAGTTATACCCAGCTATCATATATTCTCTTTCATGTGTGTACTTTGCACTGAAACTCTTTGCGGAATGATTTTGGTGTAAAAAACTGTTGCTAAGAGAAAATAAAGCTTCAAGTGGTGATTAAAGAAAGGAGAATGGAGCATGACAGCCACAATGGAGATATTCATTTAAAGTTTAAAATTTAATGCAGACATTTAATCCATCAGAAGCTATGGCACAGTTTATAAATGAAATATGATATCAAATGATCTGAAGTCTATTTTAGATTCAGTGACATTTACAGATGGAATGAGTTAGGAATAAACCTTTGCTTCCCTAGCTTAATACAGGACATGCAAGAGGTAGCAGCAAAATGACTGAGAAATACTGCCTTCACCTCAATGTCAAAGTATGTTATTTTGGTGTTACTGTGTAACAAGATACTTTTCGGTTTATTAATAATGTCCATATAAATTGATAATGTCTAGATGATAAGAGGGCAAATATAGTTATCTTTCTTGGCTTATTTTATCATCATTACAGAGATTTATTCTTTATTAACTCAATTATTTTCCCAGTGTTGTTCACCATGTTTGCTAATAGTTTGCAGCATAAAGGGAGCAGAGACATTCCTTGAGCAGACTCATTCCTTCCACTTGTCCAGCAGCAATGCCAGCCTGGCCCTGTCACACATTTGACCCTAATATACACATTCTGTTTTCTTAGGTGTATTTGCGTTTGGATCAGCCTGTAACAGCTTTAAACCTTTTCAAGCAAGGATTAGACCGATTTCCTGGAGAAGTGGCTCTTCTCTGTGGGATTGCCAGGATCTATGAGGTGGGTACCTACTATACAACGTGCAGTGTGGTCAAGGTTAGCTGCCTGAGAAAGAGCCAAATATTCAATATACCCAAAAGGTCATGAAAAAAGAGCTACACTCATTTCCAGTATCACTAATGCAAACCAGGTAACATAACACAAAGAAGCTACCAAAGTCATGTCAGGGAAGCCTTGCAGGCTCACTTGTTCAACTGCTTAATCACACCAGGGAGATCCTGCCTTTCCTTGTTCAGACACACAGAAACGAGCCCACATTAAGGCAAGTGATCCAGAAACTGCCCGTGTAGCTATGTCTACATATACTTTTCATTGGACTTTAACTGCTTGAGTCACCGATGACCTATTGACAGGGTCAAACAGCCAAATACTCTTCAGATCTCTTTATTAGTGCTGCTGTCTTCATTAGTCCTGTAAGTCACTGTTAATTTCTTAAGCCGGCAAGAACAGTTGAAATGTGAATGTTTCACAGATTAGGAAGTAGATTTTATTTTAAAGATGGCCAGTTTTAAAGTAATGGTTTTGCTTTAGGTAGGTAGCCATATATTTTGCATTTTAAAAAATATGCATTTTCATATCAAGCAGCAAAGCAGCAGACTTCTATTTAATATATTCCAAATTTTATTACCAATAAATACCAAATGATACTATTCCAAAACAAATATTTTGTTTGAAATTTTTTTTTCTTTATCTACATGCATACTTGGTGTTCTTGCCTGTTCTCATCATTCTCATTTAACCCATAGGAATGAATCCATTTTCATGTTAAAGGCTTTTTGTCCTTTAGTAAGGAAGAAAATAGCTGCATAAATTTTGAGACCCTTCTTTCTAAATTGTTAAGCAGTTTTTAATATGGATATTATTTTGCAGAGCCATGCAAAACATTCCATAACCCTGTAAGTAATTCTTAAGGAACAGCATATACTTGACATGATATAGCTTTGTGCCGATACGTAAGTGCAGGATTATAACTTCATTAGCAAAGATTTATACTGCAGTATAGGACTGTTCATGTTACCTGAATTCACAAGTAGAATATAGGTATCTGTCATCCTAAGACCTTTTTTTCTGCTTTGCTTAGATGACTTACTCGTCTTCCAGCTAGCGTACATCCAAGCATGTGTTCTGATACAACACAGTTGTCTTAACTGGCACATGCTAATAAATAAAAATTTTGGTATTTTTTGGTAATTAATCCACTATTCCTGTTTTCAGTAATACTTCATATGCAATTGCATTCTCATTTATTGACAAAGCATTTCATGAATTTATTTACAAAGCACTGAAAGTAAAAATCAATTGCACAATACTATTTATTATGAGACATTGTACCAAAAGTAGCACACATCCATTGTCCATGCCAAGTTGACCAATATTCACTGTACCAGTGGTATCAGGTTATGACAGGTATAACTAGTCCTGAAAAAAAAAAAAAGATCAATAACCACGTTCTCATGGACTTGTGTCACTTGTGGAGATGCCAACTGGTGATGTTGCATTGATCAGAGAATAGCACAACATATATAATTAACCACAGGTAGTTAAGTACTGTTGAGGATACACTGTACAGGAGCAAGCACTCCTGTAGATTGACATTTTAACAAGTCTCATAATAAAAAATGGTGATGCAAAGGAGAATTAATCCTTTTTTTCCCCTCCATTGTGTAGGAAATGAACAATATCTCCTCAGCTGCAGAGTACTACAAAGATGTGTTAAAACAGGACAACACTCACGTGGAAGCCATTGCTTGTATTGGCAGTAACCATTTTTATTCAGACCAGCCTGAGATAGCTCTGCGGTTTTATAGGTATCTAAACTTGGAGGGAAGGGGTGTAAGAAGATGGACACATAGAAGGGTGATGCAAAGGGTTGGGTTTTGTTATGCAGGTAACAAAATAAGAGTAATATACTTACAGAAAAATAAGACTAATAGATGATAAACATGGAAGGATAAGCAAGCATTTGTAGAAATATCACCATGTAATGATCATACTAACTTAGCATCTTCTCTACCAGTGATAACTTAAATCTCTTTTAAAAATTTGTGATTACTGCATGCAAAGTGTATGCAGAAGTATCAGCATAGAAGATTATCGTAACAGATTATTAATAAATAAGAAATAAGAAATCTTTCATAGTGTAAAGCGGTCTGAGAACACTGGGCCTTTCTTTCAACATCACTTGCATTGGAGAGGCTCATGGAGTTTCCATTTAGCCCCTTTAAAAGGAACAATCTTTGAAATGCTCCATTTGAAGTCATGTGCAGTGATGTGACCACAGAATCCTCTGCTTAAATGTGTGCTGGGGTTCCCCCTATGAAAGCAATAAAAAGGCAGTGTTAAACCATGCTGTTTTCATCTGAAGTTAGAGTGCAAAGGAGTCTGACTCATGCTGCCAAGTCTGAGAGCAGTTGAAGTCAATGTAAACAGTTCCAAGTGATTTCTGCAGTACGTGAGCTCTTTTATGCTTTAGGTTTGAAAATAGGTCATAATAAGTCACGCTGCACAAAGCGGCCCATTTTTTCCTTCAGCCTCGTGGCATACCTGTTATGACAGAAAACATATTATTTAGAATAGAACCTGTGTGTGTAATTTAGAAAACTATGTGCAATTAAAACTAAAAATGGATTTATCAAATGTTTTCTCTTAATATAGACGACTCCTGCAGATGGGTGTTTACAACTGCCAGCTTTTTAACAATCTTGGCCTCTGTTGCTTCTATGCCCAGCAATATGATATGACAATAACTTCATTTGAACGTGCACTTTCTTTGGCTGAAAATGAGGAGGAAACCGCGGATGTGTGGTACAACTTGGGACATGTGGCTGTGGTATGAAAAATACTTAGAACTTTTCTGAATAAAGATTTTACTAAATGAAAACATAACTGGAAAAAGAATATCTTGGATGTAATCATTGACATAAACAGATATAGAGTAGATTCACAGTTTTTGATAGCTTCCTAATATGAGTTCCATTCAGATGCTGATTATTTTTTAATTTAGGTGAGTGAGAAACTCACCTTTTCATCTGGATTGCATTGAAACTATGATAAACATATTAACTTACACTTCCAAAGCACTGCGGTTGGAACTGATGTGCCTATATTTTTCAGCATTTGACACTTTTCATGTATCAGTCAGCCATAAAATGAGAGCTTTAAACAGCACTCAGTTCCTCAAAACAGAAAGTTTTGGTCCCATCATTTTTAACCCTCTAAAGTCTAGAATTATACGGTCCTTTTTAATCTGCATAGAGAGAGGTGAGATAGAATCCCTTTGGACATGTCTCAGGGTGTTTCTTGTTGCTTTGTAAGGTGACCTGTAACTTAATCTTTAGATGACACTTGAGTCATCTAGAAGTTAAATTAGATGACGTGAATCTCGCTAGGATCATGTCTGTGCTGGAGAGAATTTTTTTCTGTTAATAAGAAAGATATGAGAAGAATTGGGAAGAAAGCACATATGGTTCCAGTCAGCATGTTTTTACTGAGAGTTGTATTCCATGGCAGTTCATATGATGAAAAGATACTCAGAACAACAAAACAGACATGTGTTGTTTCAAATCTTTTGACAAATTAAAATATGATCTTACTTTCAGGGGATAGGAGATCTGAATCTGGCTTACCAGTGTTTCCAGCTAACATTAGTTAACAATAACGACCACGCAGAGGCTTACAACAACTTGGCTGTGCTGGAAATGAGAAAAGGCCACATTGAGCAGGTTGGTATTAATTATCTCTGCCTTCCCAGATAGTTTGCAGATAGTCAGAGGTATTTTGTAAAAGATCTGATATGTTCCCAAACTTTTTAGTAGTTTTTAATACTACTAACTTGCTACTCAAAAGAGAGAGTGATTCCTGGTGCCAGCTGAGTGGATTGTTTGGTGCTGTGGAGCTGTCAGCTTGACATCTTCAAAAGAGATCTTCAAAACACCTTCATGGTGTTTAAAAATATACATCAGTCCTAAACGCTTTTTCTGTCTCTTTTTCATGGGAAAGATTTTACTGTCATTTCTCCAGGAGTCTGAACAAATTAGGCTGAGCAAAGCAGAATGCCGGGTCATTGGGGAGGTTAGTCACGTCCACATCTCCCCGTTTTTCAGTTTTCACTTCAGCCCTGAGGAAAGAGAGCAAGGAAAATTCTGCTCACCAGACACGGTGCTGAGCAGGACTCTGGGCAATTTCAAGCCCAGTTCCTGCCAGCACACAGGAACAAATTTTCAGGGAGAATAAATAAGAGGCATAATACTTAATGTATTTTTCCTTATGTAGTTACATATTTTCACCTTGATCTCGGTATTTTTTAAGCTACTAGGAAGTGTGAAAACAAGATAAAGGCTTTCATTGCAAATTTGAAGTGTGAAAATCACCTCGTTTAGCTTTTCAGGGATGCTTTTGATTCTGAATCATTAATGCACATCCTTTCAGAGGCAGTGGGCAAATACAGCAGGACTTGAAATTCTCTTTTGATAATGAATATACTGTTTCATATTTAGAAATACATGGTTGCAACACAGCCCTTGTAGCTTGACCAGGAGTCTTGTGACCAAGTTATTGCAATCCTATTAAACTGCATTATACCTAGATGTACTAAAGATATAACCCATATTATATTAAAGATGACTTATTATATTAAAGACTAACACAGAACCCAGTGTGATTTCTTTAGGGAATGAAGAAGGATGCCTTAGCCTCTTGTCACCCTCCCTCACATATTTCACTACATTTTTGATTTTTTGTCTTTTTTCATAGGCAAGAGCTTTGCTACAGACTGCTTCATCTTTAGCACCTCATATGTACGAGCCACATTTTAATTTTGCAACACTTTCAGAGAAGGTAATGCACTACCCTGCTCTTGTGATCCAAAAGTTGAGCCTTTGATGGGATGGTTGGGTTTTATTATTATTTAAAATATTCCAGATAGGTAATACAGAACACCTAAACTCAAGATAAAATTAAAGTTACATTTTCATTTTAATACCCAGCAGCTTTGAGTGAAAGTAGTTATTAAAATGTTTGGTTTTGAGAACAGGCGAAGCCAACTTAGATAGTTATATATAACTATATATTTAGCATTTTATATAACTGTAGTAGAATTTTAGTATTTCTCCAACTGTACAGAAGATTAACAATTCCACCTACCTCCTTACAATCATCAAATTTTTCATAACATGTATCAGATATATTTATCAGAATATCAGATTTATCAGAGTAGGATCATAGATAGATTTATCCGTAATGATAGAATATCACTTATTCAGTCCATGATCTTAGTTTTCTGAAAAGAAAACTATGTTCAGCTTTTCGATCTCTGAATTTTGTGCTTAATAATTTCCTTCATAAGGAGTGCCTCAGACACTGAATTAACAGAGTTCCTGACATTCTTATTCCCATTAATAAGGAGAAACTTGATTTTTAAAGTTTTACAGAAAGAAATTATTTTGCTAGTCCCTTAAATGTTTTGTTACGGGTATATGTTGTGTGGGCAGCCCAGTTCCTGCAGATACTGAAGCACATGAGTCAGGAAGAGAATAGCCCGTTAATTGATAAGCACATCCTCTCCATTGTGAAACACAAAGTAGTTTGGAATTAATGGTGTTTTAGACCTGCCGATTAAGGAGCAAATTCTAGTCTGTAAGTGGCATGTTACATGTTTTTGCACACAGAAAGGGAAACTGCATATGCTGTAGAGCAGACAGATGCAGCTTGCTGTGTTGCTTTCTGCAGCTCGCTCATTGAGTGGGTGTATGAGTGTAAGGCCGTGGTTTAAGCCCTCTGGTCAGTGCCCCAATTTTCTGCCCCTGCAGAGAATTCTTGCTGCGCTGTAGCTCTGTAGTCCCTTGCCCAGCTCTTCTTCTGTAGCTTTTTCTCTAACCATCTAGGAGCTGAATTCCCAAACATTTTGGTCCTTTTTTTGCTAGATCCACATTCTGAGATGCACTGTTATGTACACTTTCCCCTTTCAAAAATGATTGCTATTTAGGAAAAAATAAAATAGTCTCCCGGGATAGAGATCCACGTAGAAGCATGCTTCTGAAAGCAACAGCAAAGCAGCATACAGCTCACCAGCTCTGTGAGACTCCTCTCTGTGACTGGTTCTAGCTTGTCTCTGTATAAGACAACACTCATATGGAGTTGAAAATCTTTTCTTTTTTTATTTTTTTTTAATTCTTCTTGCTTCAAGCACTGAGCTTTATATATCTTATTATATAGTTTCCAAAAACGTGAGTAGAGACATAAAAGTCACTGACTTGATGAACTGCCTTCCCTTCAAACCCAACTTCTATTTTTCTCCCCACCCCTTCCAGTTTGTCCCCTTTCCTTAAAGGGGGAGGGAAAAATAATACTAAGTTCAAAATCTTCCGTACTCTACCAGGCTCACTTACTCAGTCTCAAGACCTAATATGTTTAAACATTTGTGAACATCAAGAATATGCTGCGTTCAAGAACACATGACAGAAGTATTGCAGTGCTTGGCTCTATTAAGTGAGTTTGTTTTTTGCAGATTGGAGATCTTCAAAGGAGTTACACAGCTGCTCAGAAGTCAGAGGAAGCGTTTCCAGGCCACGTTGATACACAGCAGCTCCTCAAACAGTTGAGAGAGCACTTTGCTATGCTTTGAGGACATATTCTTTATTATGTAAAAGCAGAATTGATGTCTAATACATTTAAAACTATAGCTTGTGGCAAAACCTGTGAGTAGCAGGAAAGTTTAAAGATTCTTATTTAGTTTTTATCAACTTTAAACATTATCAGTTTTAGAAATCTAGCCAGAACATGTGTTGGAACTACATACAAGAGAAGGCACGAGTGGCAAGATACTGCCACGGGGACAGCTTTAAGTAGTTGCCTGGTATGTTAGCAAGTAAGTCTCCATTTTATATTAATGAACTTCTTAAAGGATTTGTTCTGACTTTTCTGCAGAAAAAAATGTATTTAGCTACTCCTGTGTGACAATCTGTCAAGCAGCATCGAGTAAGAATATTTTGTAAGTGGTCTTCATACGTGGCTTTTGATACCATGTTTTCTTACTGAAGTACTTAAGATGTGTGTAAAATACATGTGCAAAGTGGTAGTTCATCTGTTGTTTGTTGTACCAGGGGAATGAAATAAATTTCAGTTTGTATAGTTTGTCTCCTTTGTTTATATAAATTTACATCCCTATTGCCTTGAAGAGTCAAAGAGCCTGAAATACTGTGAAAAGCTCAGCAGAATTGATACTGAACAGCACAGTAATAGCTTTCCTCCTGAGAGGAAAGTGCAGTCCTCATGTCAGCGAGAGAGAAGGCTGCTCAGGAGCTTGCTGGGGTCACTGCTAACCACTGATGGGTGTCACCTGGGCCACCACATAGCCTGGTGGCTACATAACTACATGCATCAGGGTCACTACAGCAACACTGCTTATAACAACAAACATCCAAGGCTGCCTAGACCACGACTCGCAGTGTTCAAGCTAGCAGAAATTTGCATGATTTCCCAACCTGACCTTTTATAAAGGCCTTTAAGAAATGTGGGATGTTAAGATATTCTAAAATGGCACATACTGAAATGGGCCTTTAAAATCATTTCATGCTCATGTGATACTTAAAGGATTTTCTTGGCTTAGGAAGCAGCGCTACACATGCTTATGGTTATGATGTTTTGCTCTTCTCTTTACTCCTGATAACTTCTCCACCCTTATCTTTCTATGAAGCTTGTAGATGGTAAAGATAGATAAGGGAAAGCTTAGAGAAGTTTATCCACAGGCTGCCTTACAAAGCAGTTTGTAGGTGACGGGGTTAGCAACATTTTGTGAATAGATGACACAACATGCTGTGAAATGCAGAAACAATGTTATTAAGTAGATGGAGCATTTTTAGTGTTACTTTTTCCACAATTATTGTCAGTTTTGTCACACAGACTGAAAGTCATTGTTAACCTTCATTAGCTAATTAAAAATCACAATTTTTTGCTAGAAATGCAGAATTTATAAGGAAGTTCCAGCCTTTTATCTACTGCAGTTGTATCTTTCCAGTTGATGCTGCTAAACAAAGCAAGCTCTCAAACAGCATGATCGTGTTTGTGTGAGCAGCTGTGCACAACTGTTGAGAGTTTGAGTGTCGTATTATTAATTCAACGTATTTTAAAATTGCTTAGTAAGTATGATTATTTCTACATGAATTAGAAACTGATGGGAAAGCTTCCGTTTTTAATCCACTTTGTGGCAGCTCAGCAGCTTCTCTTAAGATTCCACTTGTTGTGATCACCTGTCAAGTAAATGACCTGAACAGCTTTGCCTTTTAGCAAACTATACTGCTTAGAACAGAGATCTGACATGATTGCTCTCTCAATACTGAACTATGTGTGGAGAAGAGGAGGTGTAAGAGACCAATCTTACATGGTAAGATTGTGTGTTTTCGGGGGGTGGAAAAAATAAAGGACAGATTTCTGCATGGGGACCTAAACAAGATTTCAATCCATAACACGTAGCATCTGCAAGCCGTTCCAGATTTATTTTTTGTGGCATATTTTGAGAGCATTTGTTTTGTTGACCTTTTACGCCCCAAAGCAAGGGTATTACAATGTTTTTTCATGACTCGCACACATGCAAATGAAGCCCCATGCGGCAGCGAGAGCAGCAGCGCCGTGGAACAGCAGCTGAGCAGGCAGCCTGTTTGTTGTGGAAGAACCTTTCGATTTTGTTTCCTGTTAGTTCAGCGCGAGCTCCGGCGACCAGATGAATGGGCAGCCCCGGGGCCTCGTGCCCCCCTTCCCTCAGCCCCGCGTCAGGCGGCGGGATCTCCTTGGGACACTGTGACCTTACAGCGGCAGCACCATTTCCATAGCACACAAATAATTTTTTCCTCTAACCAGCAGCCTACCCCCAGCTGTGGTGAGCCGACATCTTAAAAGTGGGAGTAATTTTTGCTTTGGGAGTAAAAGATAAAATATGAGGAAATACATTTTAAAAAAAAACAGATGGCCAGAAGCTCTTAAAAGTTTCTACATCCCTGCAGGAAAGGTTTGCTGCTGTGAATCCCCGTGTCAACCTTATTACTGTCTTCTTTCTGATGGCTTAATCCATCCCAAAGTTGATATTAAACTGTTAGCATTATGCCTGGATTTGGGTTATTCTGTAGAACAGCAGGGAAGAGTCTAAGTCACAGCACCAGTCACAAAACTGTGGCTAAAACTGGTCAGAATTCACAGTTATTGAAGAGGACAAGTTTGCTACAAGGTACCTGTTCAGTCAGTGGGAGACTCTGGATAACGGTCCCATTCCCTATTCCTGCTTGTAGGCCGGAAGGAGGGATTTTGTGCCCTTCAGCCTGAGCTCACATACAGCGCTAGCCGGAACCTGCAAGGCAGTTACCCTCTAATGAGCTCGTTTGTGCTTGGCTGCTGCTCATCTGCCAGAGCAGCATCGCGTTTTGATGTGGAACACATTGCAGCATTGCCCATGGAAGGCTCTATATTTAGTAACACTCTCTACCACAAGCTGTTTTTCTCTCTAAGGGGTGACCTCAGGTTCCTTGGTGTCCCTCTCCTTTGCCCATGGAGCAGCTCCTCAGCGCCCACCTTCGGCACTCGGAGCACCAGGCTCTGCTGCAGGGAAGCAAGGGGCACCAGAGCTGCGTGGCCTCCTGTTGGATGGGCCTCATCTCCTCCCTGCCTCTCCTCTGTAGCGACCACATCACAGTCAGCAGCGGCAGCTGAGGGTGGAGAGGGCAACCGTGGCAGTGGCTTTTGGCCAAATAGGTGGTTTTCTGTTAAAGGAAGAATGAGCTACACAACCTAGAGACCCCCGTGGCACCGCAGAGCTCTGCTGGCCACCAAGGAGCATTTTACTGGTAGCCCAGCTATCACTAGGAATGAGTGAGCAGATGGTGGATGTAGAATGGAAAATGGCCCTTCCTCTATAAATAACGAAAAACTGAATTCCTCTGAGTGCTTTACAAGATAAATGAGGCAAAAGCCAAGAGACCCTGATAGTTGAGGCATAGACAAACTCACCTCTGCAGTCACCCTGCAAATACAGTTAAATTGCTGCACTGGTAGGAGAGGGGCCCTGCTCCTCCTCCTAGTCACAGGTTCTGCAGCTCACGCCTTGGGAATCCGGCCACAGAAGTGTTTTCCAAGTGAATTACAGCTGGGAGACATGTCATTAGAGGCAGCAGGGGCTATCAGACCAACATATTACAATGATAACTGAATTTTGTGGAATATTTAGAAGCATATTTAGCTTCTCCTTTTGAGGGGCTAGTTACACCAGTTGCTTACAGCACAGCCTTTCCTTTTCTCTTGTAAAGTTTGCAGAAGTGCCATGGAAAGTCTTTATCAGCTACACCCTTACGTAGATACGAGATTTGTATGGAATACATCAATCAATAAATAAATAAAAAGGAGGAGAAGACTTTACTTCAAGAAGACCTTACTTCAAACCACTAAGTTAATATAAAGACCTCTCTTTTTGACACCTAAAGCATTATGTATAATTTTGTATTTAAATATATCAACGCATGCAGAGATTTGGGTTTTCTCCATCTTCTGTTTGTTTTTGACAGATACTGTCTGTGAATCTAAATATATTGTTTCAAAGATAGGTTTCCAAGCCATAAGAAAAGAGGGAAGCAGCGGGATGCAGACTTGCTAAGCACTGTGGAAAGGGCAAACTCATTAAGAGCGAGGAAACTGGGTTCCTGCAAGCAGACCTCAGCAGCATTTTTTCCTCATTTCTAGCTTATGAAGTTTAAATAACCATAAAGCAATTGCCAAGATTTTAAGTGTTAGCCTCAGTAGTAAGTACAATTTTTTTTACTACTACAGTTGCATATTTTGCCTAGTCTGTATCCCATGATAAGGTCAAGCATCTTTATAAATATTAACTAATCCTTATATACAACAAATTTACATCATCCTAACCAAGGGTCACAGGATTTTCCCTTAGAGATTCTGGTCTGTTTGTTTATAAAATATTACAGAAAAAAATAGGCTGTATTGTGAACATATTCTACAACTACTCTTCAGTCTTGTGAATTACCATAAGCCAACTGTATGGGGCTCAGAGAAAAACATGTTCCAAATATATGGTCACTGTTTTTTGTTTGTTTTCAAATCAGTAGGAGAACCAAAACAGATCTATATGTTTATCCTAGTCTTTAATATGTGTTCTTCCACAGATATTCCAGTGGATAACCCAATAGAAGAAGGTTTTAAAGCTGGATTTACTTCTGCCTGCAGCCCTCCAGTACCTCGGGGTAGAGGCTTACAATGCCCTCTCCTTACCCAGCATTTATTTACTATGCTATTAAGTGGTAGCTACTTGGATGAACACAAGTTTTTAGTTTAACCTAAATCCTGTGAACAAGCAGAGGACCACAAGGAATGCCCAAGTCATATAGATGCAATCTAGGGGTGTCATTGTTGCATGTGTGCAGGATGTCCAAGACGACCACAATAACCCTGCATGGTCTTCAGATCAGATCGCAGCTGTTGGCAGTGAAGCCTGCAGCTCCTCATGAGTTTCCTCAGGCTAGGAACTGAATGCTGGGAAAGCTGGGTGAAGTGGAAAACATTATTTTGCAGGGATGGTATTTGCAAAATATGGATAATTAATAGAAATAAATAGAATAATATATTAACAGAAATGTAATGGGACTCCTCATGATTGAAAGAACCTAAATCATTTACACTTTGCAGCCACACCTGTGATAAACCTTATTAACACTACTGTATATCCTCAGTGAAAGGATTTATTTTTAAGTTTCTGCAAACCACAGCTCAGAACCATTCAAACCACTGAGGTTACGTGACAAGCCTCATGTTATCTACTGTACAACTTAATCATCCTCTAAAGCAAAGCTCTGATGTACTCAGCAATCCTAACTCAGACAACGCTTCTAATCCTACAGGAGTTTCAGATGCACCAATACCTCAATAACCAAAAAAATAAGAACACCGGAACTGATATTGTTTCTGTGAGACCATAACTTAAGCTTGAAACAAATCCTGAGTCATGACAGATCCTTGATTTGGAAGGGAAGTGAAAGTTG